CACATGTCCATGTCTGGCCATTTAGTGACGATTTTTTCATTCCTTTCCTCCTCTGCTCCTTGGCATTGATACTTTGTGCCCATACAGAAAGCCGGGCACAGTACTGGGTGCTTCCCATGTTATTTTGTGGAATCTTGGGGACTGGGCAGAGCTGCATAGAGGTTCAGAATTCAAGAGCAAATGGTTTTTAAGAGTGGTAATACTTCAACTGAAGTTCACCTAACACCGATTAACAAGGTCTCCTAAAGACCTCTGCACTAAGTGTGATGGGTATGGATCAGTATGTCCAGCTGAAGAGATAATGGCCAAGCAGCCTCATACATGCATGTTAGGTGTCAAGGTGTGTATGCAGCACATGTTGGGGAGGAAGGCTGTCTACTCCTACTGGATATCCTTGGGAAAGCTGTGTGCCTGTGCCTTAATGTTCACACTGGTGGGACTCAGTTGGGTCATATTTCAATGCACACTCTATGACCCTAATAAAAGAGTGCAAATCTATGTTCAAAACTAATTCTTCATAAGATTATCTACTCATTACCTTAGTCCTCAAAATGAGGCAGAAGAGCTTGCCAGCCATCACAGCAGCAGTAATCCTAGTAAAAACTAACCCAGATCAATGGTGTCTATTTGCTCAGATTTCTCTAGTACTTCCTAGTCCTGCTCACCTAGAACGGAAGTCCTTGCAATGGCCCATGGCCTGATGAGACTTGTCTGTAGCTGGAGTTTTCTCCAGTCCTGCCCAGCCCCATGTTCCCCGCAACTGCTTATAAAATTATTACCGCCGGGTGGTGGTGGCGCACGCCTTTATTCCCAGCACTCGGGAGGCAGAGCCAGGCGGATCTCTGTGAGTTCAAGGCCAGCCTGGGCTACCAAGTGAGCTCCAGGAAAGGCACAAAGCTACGCAGAGAAACCCTGTCTCGAAAAACCAAAAAATATATATATATTATCACTCAGATTATTTTATAATAATATTATTATTTAGCTTATATTAATTAAACTGCTCAGCCCTTAGCTCAGGCCTACCACTGACTAGCTCTTACACTTAAACTCAGCCCATTTCTGTTAACCTACATGTCCCACGTGTTCTGTGGCTTTACCTGTTGCCTTTACATGCTGCTCCCTGGACAGCAGGCTGGTGTCTACTCCTCTGCCTTCCTGTTCCCACAATTCTCTTCTCTGCTTGTCCCGCCTATACTTCCTGCCTGGCTACTGGCCAATCAGCGTTTTATTTATACAGAGCCATATCCACAGCACTTGTCTGTTCTCCACTACCAGCCTTGCTTCTCCCACCCACCCCATCGACATTTCCAGGCTCTTTTCCTGGTCACACAGGCCTTTGTGCAGCTTTTCTCAGTTGAGGTCAGCAATCTTCTATAAGGGGACAGTCACACTTATTTCCATGGAGCTTTTGGGCCAGTCTTCGTGATGCTGATTGCACTCTGTTTTTTATGGCCATGGGCAATTCATCAGTGAATGGGTATGGTTGCTTTAGTAAACGTATATACTACCACAGGCCACAGGCTGGACTTGCCTGCATCTAACTCCCCAGTCATGTGACTTAGCCCTCTGCACCTATTGCATCCCTAACACTCATGTCCCCCAGTCACCTCCTTCAGCTCTTTACACAACTGCTATCAGCTCAGGGAGTCTTGACTGTGCTGTGGATATTGCTCTGTGTGCTGTGAATGTGTTGCTCTGATTTGGCTGATAAAGTGCTGATTGGCCAGTAGCCAGGCAGGAAGTATAGTATAGGCGGGATAAGCAGAGAAGAGAATTCTGGGAAGAGGAAGGCTGAGTCAGGAGTTGTGAGCCAGATGTAGAGGAAGCAAGATGTAAAAGTACCGGTAAGCCACAAGCCACATGGCAACTTATAGATGAATAGAAATGGGTTAATTTAAGATATAAAAACTAGATAAGGAGCAGATAGATAGATAGCAAGGAGCCTGAGCCATTGGGCCAGTTTTAATTAATATAAGTTTCTGAGTGATTATTTTAGAAGTGGCTGTGGGGTCCTTGGTGCCGGGCAAGCACAGGAAAACCTCCAGCTACAAATGGCGTCCAGCAGCTCAAGTTTCTACCTGAAACCTGAAAATACTTAATAATCAATTCTAAACAGAGCCAAAAACAGGTTCCTGCTTCATGTCTCATGCATGTGGTGAGACCCTGCAACATGATAGCTTGAGCTACAGTATGGCGTGTTCATGGCATGTGGGCTTGACCTACGGCATGGCTGCAGATTCCCGCCCAGTTACACAGAGGTTTCTGCAAGTCGCACATTACACTGTATGGTGGATTTAGCCTTCGCTAATATAAACAAACAAACAAAAAAAAAAAAAAAAGAAGAAGAGGAGGTTTCTGGGCTACACACTGCTTTGATAGAGGCACAGACCCACTGCCTCCCAGAGTCTGGTGGTAATCGTAGTTCTGCCATGTTGGGAAACTGAGGTGGGTGGAGAATGCTGCAGTTCAAAGCAACAGATTCACAATAAGGAAGATTCAGATGGAACAAGACTTTAAATGGTTTATATTATGCGTAAAAATGTATGTAGGCTTGGAAGAGAGAAGAAAATGAATATAGACAGTTATATAAATAGTTTTAAAAAATAAAGTCTTTAAAGAGACAGTAAAGGTAATATAAAAAATAAGCCACATAAAGATGGATATTACACAGAAAATCTGGATTGTGTTTTCTTTGAGATTTTTAACTGTAGAAAGACATTTGATTGCAAAAGCTGCTCAGTTAAACCAATATGTATATTTTAAAGATATTTTGACTTCAAAATTTGGATCTAAGGATATGTTGCTTTGGAAAGGAGGCTCTGTTTTTGTTTCCACAGGAAACAAGAGGCTATGGATTTGTTCCAAGTTAAGATACATCAGGTTTGACCAGCCAAGACCCCCTGAAAGGTCTCCAACGACACCATGGCCTAGATCATCCAACATCTAGAATGGTTTCAAGGCAACTGGCTCAGACAATGCAGCCTCACAGACTATTACAGTCAGGACTTGACCATAATTCTTAATTTTCTCAGGATTCGTATTAGATCGTTAGTGACCTCATCCAGCAGGAAGTAGTATAAGAAGCTATGCTCAAATTCCCAAAATATTGTTTATGAATGTTTATTTTTATTTAAAGCAGGTTGATTATAAATGCAATCTCTTTATAAGAAGAAAAGGGGATAGTATAGATATGATAGGATGAAAGGGTAGATTAATGAACCTACTTTTAAAAAGCAACAACTTGTTTAGAAATTGCTATGGATTTTAGTTTATTGATACAAGTTTAAAGTTAATTTTGTTATATTGTATATATATTTCTACTCTTGTTTGAGGTATTATGTTTATGTAACTCATTTAGATTGTAATGGATAATTAAAAAATACAGATTAATAATTAGTCTTCTATGATAATCAAAATTATAGTCATGTTAAGTTTTCTAGGTATATATATAATTCAATTAGGTAGGTAATCTTCAAACACCAAAGACCTACAGAATATGGCATTTAAAATGTTTTAAAAATTTGAACTTTCTGGACAGTGAGACATGTCTGCTCCTGGCAGCACCAATTTATTTCAGTGAGGAGGATGGGCATTGAAGACACTCTATATGGAGTTTATCTTCTTATTGGCCAAAATAGTCATTTGGGCAAGAAACTGTTCTTGCTTGGACTGCTTGACAAAATGATATCAACTGGACTTGCAGAACCCATAGGAAGGTGACTACTGAACTTTGCTTGATGAAATGGTCCTTTGGGTTCCTGCTTCGCAGAGGAAACTGCCAGACATTCTACAGGACACAAAGAAAAGTGACTGAGAGACTCTAGGCCTGTGGGCTGAAGACAGATGCCCCGACTTTACAGAGGAACTTTGGATGACTGTCCAGGTTGCCAGCTGTCTGTCTACTCTTGCAAAACTCCCAAAAGTTGCTTGCATCCTTCTCCCATTTCTCAGGTAATATTATATCCTTCTAAGGTCTTTGATGTAGTTAAAGATTAGATAGTTATGATTTCCTTAGTTATGATAAAAGACAAATTAGATATGAAACCTTAGACCCACAAATATAGGATAGGATATCTTTCTTAATTTTGTCAAACACAAATAGACTAAATATTATATAGACTAGATATTGTAACTATAATTGTTGCTTGATAATTGTTTTGTTACATGTAATTTTACTATGTTAAAGTTAAAACCTTCCTTTTTGAAAAAAAAAAGAAAAGGGGAAGTGCTGTGGATATTGCTCTGTATACTGGGAATGTGTAGCTCTAATTTGGTCGATAAATAAAATGCTGATTGGCCAATAGCCAGGCAGGAAGTATAGTATAGGTGGGATAAGCAGAGAAGAGAATTCTGGGAAAAGGAAGGCTGAGTCAGGAGTCACCAGCCAGACACAGAGGAATCAAGATGTAAAAGTACCAGTAAGCCACAAGCCACGTGGCAACTTATAGATGAATAGAAATGGGTTAATTTAAGATATAAGAACTAGATAGCAAGAAGCCTGAGCCATTAGGCCAAACAGTCTTAATATGAGCTTCTGAGTGATTATTTTGTAAGTAGGCTGCAGAACTATGGGGGCATGGCGGACCCGGAGAAACTTTCCAGCTACATGCCTGAGCCACATCAGCACGGCCACCCTCTCCTCTGATTTTTCTCTAAAAATTTTTCTAAATTTTAATTTTGTTCAACAAACATCTTGTGTCTTTCCCCCAGCACACACCAACTAGAATGTAGACAAGAAGGGGCAGGACTCTGTTGCTGCTTCTTCACTGTGGTATTCCTAGATTCCTTGCATGTCACAGGCATTCAACAAACATTAACTGAATGAATAAATCAAGCTTAACTACAAAACTGGGGGGGGCGGTCAAAGATAATAAATATCTCTAATGTACCCCAACATGGTCTCCAGTATCTAGAAAGTCTTTGGTCATTGGATTATGTCATAATCAGTGATGTCACTGTTGGGCAGATTCTCAAGCTGTTCTCTGATTTACGCCTTTCAGGCCTTGTAGCCAGCAGGATCCGGAGCTTTCTGAGGGCAGTATGTCTCTGGAGAGCATGTGGGCTCCACAGGCAGCAGACATAGGGGATGGGCCTGCCAAGAAAGCCGGCAACCAGGCCTCCATGCAGACACAGCTCCTCCAGACTGCCTCCCTAAAGGATGGCCCAGCAAAGAGGGCAGTATGGGTTCGTCGGGACAGTGCCGAGACAGAAGCCTCCGCTAAGTCAAATGGGTCGAAGGACAGGCCCAAGTTAGGGGTGACCAAAGCAGTGGTTGTGGATCTTGGCACTGGCTTCTGTAAATGTGGCTTTGCTGGCCTGCCAAAGCCCACTCATAAGATCTCAACAACAGTGGGCAAGCCCTACATGGAGACAGCCAAGACTGGGGATAATCGCAAAGAGACCTTCGTGGGGCACGAGCTCCTTAACCCAGAAATACATCTCAAGCTGGTCAACCCCCTGCGTCATGGTATCATTGTGGACTGGGACACAGTACAGGACATCTGGGAATACCTCTTCCGACAGGAGATGAAGATCGCCCCAGAGGAGCATGCAGTCCTGGTTTCAGACCCACCCCTGAGCCCTCACACCAACAGAGAGAAGTATGCTGAGATGCTGTTTGAGACCTTCAACACGCCTGCAATGCACATCGCCTACCAATCCCGCCTGTCCATGTACTCATACGGTCGCACCTCCGGCCTGGTGGTGGAGGTTGGCCATGGTGTGTCCTATGTGGTTCCCATCTATGAGGGTTATCCTTTGCCTAGCATCACGGGGAGGCTAGACTATGCAGGATCTGACATGACGGCGTACCTGATGAGCTTGATGAACAGCTCTGGAAAATACTTCACTGAGGACCATATCAGTATTGTGGAGAACATCAAGACAAAATGCTGCTTCGTGGCCCTAGACCCCATTGAGGAGAAGAAAATCCCTCCCAGTGAACATGAGATCCATTATACTCTGCCTGATGGGAAAGACATCCGTCTGGGCCAGGAGAGGTTCCTCTGCTCAGAGATGTTCTTCAAGCCATCTCTGATCAAGTCCATGCAGCTGGGCCTCCACACCCAGACAGTGTCCTGCCTTAACAAGTGTGACATCGCACTCAAACGAGACCTCATGGGGAACATCCTGCTCTGTGGGGGAAGCACTATGCTCAAGGGTTTCCCTAACCGCCTGCAGAAGGAACTGAGCAGCATGTGTCCCAATGACCTGCCACAGGTGAACGTTCTGCCTGAGAGAGATACTGCAGTGTGGACTGGTGGCTCTATCCTGGCCTCGCTCCAAGGTTTCCAACCACTGTGGGTTCACCGCTTTGAGTACGAGGAACATGGGCCTTTCTTCCTCTACAGAAGGTGCTTCTGAACTGATGTAGCATGGCCACTGTGGTGACAGTGTGTCAGCTTTACTACATGAGGGAACACCTTTTATACATGGTGCTGAGCTGGCATGTTCATTCCTGTAGCATTAAAACCCCCTGGTGTCCCCTTCCTGGACAGTGTGTCTGTTTCCTGACATAGTGAGAGCCACACAGATGGATCATCACCTTAAATGATGCAGAAGCCTGGGAGCGGAGGGGGATATGAGGACCAGACATGCGCTATGCTGACGGCTCAGGTTCTCTTGGCAAAAACTTGCGCTAACATTGTTCTGGCCCTTGTGAGATTCCCACTGTAGGAACTACTCTGTCATTAAAACGTGTTTAAGGAAACATGTGATAAAAACAAGTTAAGAGTAAATGATGTTAAAGGATACAAAGGGAGCTGGGCAGTGGTGGCGCACACCTTTAATCCCAGCACTTGGGAGGCAGAGGCAGGTGGATCTCTCTGAGTTCAAGGACAGCCTGGTCTACAGAGAGGAGAGAGTTACAGGACAGGCTCCAAAACTACACAGGGAAACCCTATCTCAAAATATATATATACAAGGGGATCCCCATCCACAATTCCCTACAGAATACTGAATAAATTTAGTCTCCTACAAAGCAGCACTGTATTTCACATCTGACAGCAAACTCAGAAGGCTTAGAATATGCTGGTGAAGATAATCTACCCTGTTTTAACCTCCTTTTTACTCCCGTTATGTCCCAAATCTGGTTCATAGTAAGCCACCAGGATGACTGGCTATAACATGCCCCCAGACCTTGGCATAACCGATGGACACCATGATGTACTGAAGTACCATTCAGTCCTTGAACCCAGCACACAGGCAGCAACTCCTGACAAAACCAAAACAAAGAACTAATCCATCGGAGTCCATCCTTCTGGCAGGGTCCCTCAATGTACTAACCTTGCTTTTCCGGCTTCTGTAGTTCCCTTCTGGCGAACTGTTCTTGCTGGGCTGTGTCAACACAGGATGTGGTTTTTGTGCTCAAAAACTCACCCTGAGAGAGGTTCAGTGCTACACTCGGGTCCCAAACACCCAGCATAGTTGTCAGCTAATAAAGACTTTCTGGCTTGAATCCATGTCCAAGTGGTCTTCTCTGGTGGATAACTCACAACATTTCTGGGGACCCCAGTGAGATCCCCAGAGACCAGACCTTGACACACTGGGGGTCTGAGCCCCTTGGAGCAGAGAGGAGCTCTACGGGATATACAACCTGAGACATTCCAGGGTCCCAGGACACTCTCTGATTAACCATTGCCTAATGCCTTGGGAGGGAACAAAATTCAGTCACCTGGTCTGTCACCTCCAGAGTAAGTCTGGTTAAGGTGCCTTCTGTTTAGGACATAAAGGACCGGAAGGCTGCAGATGCAAACCCAGTGTCTGGAATCCATGGGAGACATCACTGGACTCCCCTCGTCCATTCAGGTGTATGTATAGCCACCCCAATCAGTTTCTCTATATTGACCAGTGGCTTTCTCTCACAGCTGATGGAAAGCAGATACATGCTTCAGGATCTGGTCTCCAGAAGTGCTCCCAATAGCTACAACTGTGACTTTCAGCTCTTAAGCAAGAGGCTTTAAGTCGTACTGGGGTTCTTAGTCACATTTGTACCCTTGAGCATCTAGAAAACAGGCATCTTTACCATGCAGAGGCTCAAGAGCCACTCACCCAACTCCAGGTCTCCCTAGATGTCTTCACATAGAGAGCCTCACACGTCAGAGCCTGGACCCAGACTGGCGGGTCAGCGTATCTGACACCAGAAAGCTGAAGCAGGGAGGAAGAGACAGAGCAGTGGAAAGACATCTAAGGTCCCATGGTTTGGCAAGGTGACTAAGCCTTACCCTGGAGAGTCAGAGATCAGACAAGAGTTGGGTACACCATACATCTTAAGTTTCTTCTTAGACTATTCTACTGGCAAGAACCCATGAGCACTCACTAAGGGACAAGTCAGGTTGATTAGATCTCCATCTCTCAATGCCTTTACTCAGTGTTGGTAAAGCCTATAAACCCTCAGAGTAAGTGTTCTAAAATTCATTAAAGGTTGTTTTGTTTTGTTTTTTCTTCCAACCATAAATCACTTCTATCTCTGGACAGGGGTTGATGAGCCCGAGTCAATGAGCCCCAAAAGGGTGAAGGGTCTTGATGAGGGAGGGATGGGAAATATCTTCTGAAGGGAGTCTCCAGGAAGCTCCAGGCCTAAACACAAAATGTCAATGTAAAGCTAATACAACAGCATTCCTTCTCAAAGCACTTTCAATTCTCTCAGTGGATCCACCTGTCCCTGTAGAAAAGACAGGCTTCACACATAGAAACATGTAACAGTTTAGTACTTTTGATGTCATCTAAGTTTAACAGTTAACTGGAGGTAACACGACAAGTTTGTTACTACAGGGATGGAAATACGTACTACTACTGTGGTGGTTTGAAAGAAAATGGCCCCCAAAGGGAGTGGTACTATCAGGAGGTGTGGCTTTGTTAGAGTGGGTATGGCCTTGTTGGAGGAAGTGTGTCACTCTGGGGGCGGGCTTTGAGGTTTCCTATGCTCAAGATACCGCCCAGTGTGTCAGTTGACTTCCTGTAGCATGAGTCAGCTCCAGCACCATGTCTGCTTGCATGCCACCATTCTCCCGGCCATGATGATAATGGACTGAACCTCTGACACTGTAAGCGACCTGCCCCTCAATTAAATGTGTTCGTTTATAAGCTGCCGTGGTCATGTCTTTTAAGACAACTATCTAGTGAGTAGAGGCAGGGAAATTGAAAATACCCTGCCTAAATGCCATCTCAGGCAAAGAATGTCACTCAAAATGCCTATAGATAGTTCAGGAAAGTGAAGTTCCTTTGTCCAAGGACACTAAAGTTTGTGGATTCAGAACCTAAACCCTCGTCTTTATACCAAGATGTCTGTTGACATTTTTGAGTAAAGGTGGCCTAGGGCCCAGGAAAGGGCTTGCGCACAGAGAACACAGGGCTCAGGCGTCAAGAGCACCATTCAGTGTCACCAAACGCACCAAGGGAGCCTTAGCTGTATACAGCCTCTTGAGCAATGGTTCTCAACCTGTGGGTCATGACCCCTTTGTATCAGATATGTACACTTCATAACAGCAGCAAAACTAGTCATGAAGTAGCAAAAAAGTGATTTTATGGCTGGGGGTCACCACAACATGAGAAACTGTATTCAAGGGTCGCAGCGTTAGGAAGGTGGAGAACCACCGCTCTACCTTGAGCATTTAGTTAGCTATAAGTGGAGATTTCAATCCTCATCCGCAGGTGTGAGAGCTGAAGACCCTGTGGGCTTACGCAGTATGGACTAGCCAAACCGAGTAGTGGTTTCAGTGAGCATGGTCTTCACAGGCTCTTATGTTCGAATGCTTGGTCACCAGTAAGCGGAACTGTCTGAGAAGAGTTAGGAGCATGGCCTTGTGGGAGGAGATGTGTCTCTGGGAGTCAGCTTTGAGGTTCCGAAAGCGCATGCCAGGCCCAGTGATGTAAAGCTCTCAGCTACTTTTCTAGCACCATGCCTGCTTGCCTACACCCATGCCCCCCCACCATAACAGTGATGGACAATCTTCTGAATGTAAGGAAGCTCCCAATTAAATGCTTCTTCTATAAGAGCTACCTTGGTCATAGAATCTTTTCACTGCACTAGAACAGTAAGACAAGGAGGGGGAAAAAAATCTGACTTTGCTTTCCAACTTGCAGTCACCTTAAATTACTAAGAACTGCCAGGTTTTTGCTTTCTGTTTCTAAATGCCCTTCGACTAGGCTAAGTAGTGCACGCTAGTTCCAGAATTCAAGGGCTGAGAGGTTGGAGGCCTGCAGCCAGTTCAAGACCAGCTTGACCACACAGTGAGTGAGTTTCACATGCTCTTCAGGTATAACGTAATGGTGACAAGTTTTTCAAAAGTGTGTGTGTGTGTGTGTGTGTGTGTGTGTGTGTGTGTGTGTGTACATAAAGAGACAAAAATCATTTTAAATGTGTAGAAGTGCTAAGTTATACAAGTTATACTCATAAAGACATAAAAACATTAGGACTGGGAGTGTAGAGATCACTTGATTTGCACGTACAGGGCACTGAGGGGTTCAAGACCCAGCACCCCAAATTAAGAATGAAAATCCCTGAACACCTCCAAATACTGGCTTCCATCCCAGATTTCAGAGTGTGAATGTGAAGTCTAATGATGGAGGAAGACAGCTCTCTGCAAGTTACCTGTTGATGGCTGCAGTACTGAACAAAGCTCCAGGACAACACAGGCCAGAGAACAACTCTTACTCAACACGAGCCAGAGAAATCAAGAGTTTTTAAATATTGTGGTGAGAATCTGCATTGAGCTAGAGCCTAGGGGAACCATGTGTTTTCTGACAGCTTTCCCCAAAGTTAGCTCTCATTTCTCTTGTCCCACACCCTATAGGTCCCTCCGTGTCTCAGCCTTCAATACAGAGGACCTGCTAGGCCTACTTAATCTCAAAAATCAGCAAAATTTACTCCTGCACAGATAAGAGTGGCCATAAATGGTACAAATTAGTTCCTCTTGCTGTAGCATTGGGTTTTTTGTTTGAGACAGGGTCTCTCTAAGTAACTGTGGCTGTCTGTCCTGTAACTCATTATGTAGACCAGGCTGGCCTTGAACTCAAAGATCCCAGTGCCCCAGCCACCTGAGTGCTGGGATTAAAGGCATGCACTACCACACTTAGATGCTGTAATATTAAAGAAACTGAGCATCTGTGAAAATTTACACCATTGTCAGCAGGCACATTTACCCCCATTTCTAGTCTGTTAGCATGGATTCCTCACTTTTATCCAAAGTAAGAGCATTCCAATACAATAAATGTCATATAACGGATCCCTGACAAAGAGTCATTACAAAGTACTCACAGCCTTTTGAAACTGGCATCTAATTGTAGTAAACCCATTATGGGGTGAATCAAAAAGTAGATCTCTCCAAAGCACAGTACATTGTCTTCTTTTTCTATTCAGTGAAACATTAAAATATATATAGAAAAGTTAATTTATATAGCCAATACTCAGGTAAGTCTTTCTAAAATTACAATTTTGGGTAATCTATATACTGAGGGCCAAAAGCCACATTCTCTGTTAGTTTACACACAGTAATGAAAGCCTGGTTCTGGCATTAAAAGCATAAGAGAGATTTTTAACTGTACTCCAGGATCAGCTATGAAATTCTTGTTGGGGAGGGATTTTATTTTCCTAGGTAGTATACCCACGAAAAAATCCCGTGTTCCAGTAACTAGCTTTCCACAACTGCTCATACAAGCAACCTGGAGTGAACTTAAAAAGACATGAAAGCAGGAGAGGGGCTTCTAGGGAAGAAAAAAGATTTCAGCAGAAGAGATAGGGGATGAGAACAACTAAAATTCATTATGTTCATGTAGGAAACTGTCAGAGAACTTTCAAAAAGCCTTTTATTAAAATAAATTGACCTATTTTCTAGACTTGACAAAAAAGAGAAACTAATCTCACTCTTCCAAAAGCCTTTGGAAACAGAATGAAGCAGGTCAGTTAAACACCACACAGAAAGTGAATGAGTCTGCCTGGACAGACAAATAGGACTCAGGAAAGAAGGCAGTGTCTGGAGAACCAAGTAACCCCAACCCTGCTACCATACTATGCCTGCTGTCTACCCCTTACTGAAGTGCAGGGCACTGTCAGCAAATTCCAGTCCATCCCAACCTACCGTTGATGATTCTCTAGCAGAATATACACAGGCAATAAAACAGTCTCTTCAACAGTGCAGTTAGGGGAGTGTCTCAGTTAGGGTTCTAGTGCTGTGAAAAGACTAGGGCCACAGCTACTCTTCTAAAGGAAAGCATTTCACTGGGACTGACTTACAGTTCAGAGGTTTAGTTCACTGTCATCATGGTGGGATACAAACATGATCATGACAGGAAGCACGGTGGCGTGCAGGCAGGCATGGTGCTAGGAGGTAGCTGAGAGAGAGTTCTACGTCCAGATCTTCAGACCGTGAGACACTGGGCCTGGCTTACGCATCTGAAACCTCAAAGGCTGTCCCCAGTGATACACTCCCTCCAACAAAACCACACCTACAAGGCCATACCTCCTAATGGTGCCTCCCCCTAAAACTATGGGGTCCATTTTCATTCAAACCACCACAAGGAGGTTTAGCCCAATTAAAGCTGGTAGCACATAACCTGGCTGAATGACACATTTAATTAAGAAAAGACTTTTTTTTTAAGATTTATTTATTTTGTATGTATGAGTGTTTTGCCTGCATGTAGCTTTGTGTACTACATGCTTGCCTGGTGCCCACTGAGGTCAGAAGAGGGCATTAGATCCCCTGGAAGTGGAGTAAGAGAGGGTGGTGAGCTGCCGTGTGGGTGCTGGGAATCAAACCCAGGTCCTCTGCAAGAGCAGTAATTGCTCTTCACTGCTGAGTCAACATTCCAGACCCAAACACATTGAACTTTTTATTCTGTTTGGAGTTGGGTGAAAAAATGCCAGCCGTGCATGCAATCACATCGACTAAATGTTGACAGCACTAACAGCCTGTTTTCATATAATACACTATGCTAGCAATGCAAAACAACTTAGAAACATGATTCCACTTGTCTTCATTTTTTTTTTTTTGAGGTAGAATGAAATATCATTCCCTATAAACAACAGGAACTGAGGATCAAATCAATGAGAGTTGTCCAAGGTTGCAAGAGAAACCAAGCCTGGATGTAAGTTCACGATTTTTTGCTTTAGTAACTACGTTCTCAAATAGCACTAAATACAAGAACAGCAAGTTGGGTTGTTCTGAGATAAGGTCCTGCTGTAGCCCACACTGGTCTCAAACTTGCACCAATCCTTTCTGCCTCAGCTTCCTGAGTTGCTGGGATTGTAGGCATGCCCCACCATGCCCAACTAAAAATAGCAATTAAAAAAAAAAAAGACTGTAATATGTCGGCTAAAACAAAGGTCTGATAGTACTTCAGATGCACACTCAAATAAGACCCAGACTGCCGAGTGCGCGTGCTAGCTAAAAGCTGGTGTGCACAGCAGCTGCAGGCAGTTCAAAGACAGTCCATCTTCTATCCAGTTCTCACAGCCAGGCCTCTGAGGGGAGACAGCCAGAAGCACAACGAGGAGGGAGTGGGCAAATGGTCTTCCCAGTGGTCCTTCCTAACAGGCCAGTCATTCCAGCAGGCTCAGCTTCCACAGGCCTTTCTGGTCAATCTTTGGTGGCACGCAAACCCCAACATCTGAAAGCAAGAATGGAAGAGAAGTGATAATAGGCCTGCTACCTTCCTAACTCTACAGGATCAAAGCAAGCACAGCCTGGAAGCTCTGCCCAGAGAAGAGGGCGGGCACCAGGCTTCAGGCATGTCCATTAGGAGATTCAGTATTTGAACAGGGACGGGTAGTAGTCTTTTTTGTTTGTTAATTTTTAGATGTGTTTTATATTATATGTGAATGTTTTATCTGCATGTATGTACCTACACCATATGCACACAGTGCCCATGGAGGCCAAAGTGGGCACTGAATCCTAGGGAACTGTTTTGGATGGTTTGTAAGGCACTATAGGTGAACCAACCCTGGTCCTTTGCAAGAATGAATGCTCTTAACCACCAAGCCATCTCTCCAACCATGCAGTGTACATGTTTAAAAAAACTGTCAAATTGTACACCTAAGATCTACATTTTACTATGTGTAAAGATTTCCTATATTTTCAGAATAAAATAAAACATGCCAGTATGTAACAACAAGTCAAGTGAATGACAAAGTATAATAGAATTCTATGAACAGAATAGTCAGCAAACTCTAACTTTTTAAAAAGTAGGATGTAGTTTCAGGTAGGGAGTCTGTCATTATAACCTAAAACTTTGGTATTTCTTCATTTAGACTTTAGGAGTCTCTTATCTGACAAGGAATCATATATAGAAAGCACAGACATGAAAAAGGTATATATAAAGAGCCAGGTGGTAGTGGTGTATGCCTTTAATCCCAGCATTTGGGAGGCAGAGGCATGTAGATCTCTGTGAATTCGAGGTCAGCCTGTTCTGCAGAGCTAGTTCTAGGACAGCCAAGGCTACACAAAGAAACCCTGTCTTAAAAAACCAATAAATATGTATATATGTATATATGTTTCTCTCATTTGCTAATAATTAAATTTCTAGCAGTATATCTGCATATGTACTATTAAAATGATTTTAAAATATTTAGCAACATAACAAAAATCTTCAAGAGAATTTTTAAACCATGATTTTGTACTTTATACAAACACATGCTTATACAAACATAAATTAACTACAAATTGCCTGATCACAGGCCTGTGTCACTATTTGAGGATCAAATTTTAATTTTCTTCAATATACTTTGCAATCCAGATTTTTCTACTGACCATACAGTTTCTAATTACCCCTTACCTCGTCATTTCCCAGAAATATACCACCCCCACCAAGCCAAACTACATACACAAAGCCCACCATGAGTTGTGGTTATAAAAGAATATCACTACCAAAACAGGGTTAAACAAGGTCCATAATTTCACAGTGGTTAACGCTTGAATGAGATTTTATCTTAAAAAAAAGTTATAAAAGAATCTACTGTCTTTTAAAAACAGGACATAATTAAACTATATTTGATTCTGGAGTTAACCAAGAATAAGTATAAAATGTCAAACTTTGGGCAGGAGAGTGACAACCTGGCCGACTGACAGCAAAAGAGGATGTGCTTTACATTTTCATGTTTGACTTTCATGAGGCAAGAAGAATCATTTTAATAAATACTTTGATGACTCTTCAGCGAGGCTTTACCATCAGATCCCCTTGGGAAGCACTCAAAACCCTAATATCCAGCCAGCCTCAAGTCTGGAGCTTTCCCAGCACCACTACAAGCTATGTCATGAAATCCTCCACTTCTGCAAGACCTGCAATCAATCAATCAATCAATCAATCAATCAATCAGTGCCACTCTATGACCTGTATGACTCTGTGTCCCACAGAGAATGACCTGCAGGTGTTGCCAATGCCTGCAGTAATGTGAGTATATTTGCACCACTGTTAGCTGGGCAAGGGCAACGGGGCTATTTTTTTTGCTGGCTACTTTTGAATTACAACTTTCCCCCTTTCTACCTGTCAGGATTTGAATGTAAAGCCACCAGACCTACACAAAACCTATGTATTTAAACAATTGATCCCAAGCTAGTGGCAGTGCTTTGGGAGGTTGTAGGACCTTTTGGACATGGGGCACAGCTGGCAGACACAGGAGCTGAGCTGAAGTGGGGTTTATGAGCTGCTATGCTTCTGCCTGGATTGAACCTGACCTTTCTGGTTCCTGGTTGGTGTCATGCTACCATCAGCTGCCACACAACCCTGCCACCATAGCAGCAAGCTGCTCCTACCAACATGCTGTCCCTGACATGATGGAGTAATTTTGTCACAGTGACAAGAAATGTAATTAAATACCACCCAACCTTGGAGCCATAGGACACTGATGTTATAAACTCCAATGAGGAGCCCTCACATGTTACAGACTTTACAGAGAAAAGCAGAAGTGTCCTCTGATGCTGGTCAGCCATTAGAAAAACCCAGGGCAAGGGGTGACTGGAGCTGGCCCGAAGGTCATCACCAGGCCAGCAGCAAGAATGGGCGTAGGGAATAGAACAGCAAAACGGCCTTAGGTCTAAGACGAAGTCTCTGTTCACAGGACAAATCTTCGTGTGGAAGTGTTGGCAAAGGTGGCCTGCCAAATCCCAGGCAGAAAGGAACAAGGACCACAGTTCCCAGCAGATGAAACAAGATGACAACCAAGGTGCTGGGAACATGCAGGCCTACTCCAAATGTCATCCAAATGCTATCACAGCACAGCTTTTCTAGGAAAACCATTCCAGACCACTGCCTGTCACACCTGAGCAAGGAACAGCAGTTTTCAAAGGCAGTTAGTGTAGAACTTACCAACGGCTTCCCAGAGCCCAGGGAGGCTGGGATGGTGGGGCGTCCACCGGAAGTGCACATACTTAGGTGCCGAGTACATGCCAGTGAATTTCAAGATGAAGCTTTGATGTTTGAACCTTTTAGGAATATGTCATGTAACTGAGAACCATCTCTCACAGCAAACAAAGTGTTTTAGGTTGAACTAAGCAGGAAATGTACAGAAATGATAATATTTAGATGTGCCTTCAAGTTCTAACATCAGTTGCAAGGTGATACAATATCCATCTCCTAAAGAGGTTCTGAAGATGGGAAGGGTAACTGCAATAGCCAAAATCCCAACTCAGAAGTCTCCCATGCGTATAGGTGTGCACTTTTAGGCTCATGCTGCAATTGTGACATGCATATGTGCATGGATGGATACATGGGCCTGCAACTGTCACTGCATTTTTTTTTTTAAAGCAAAGTTATAGTTGGTTGAGAAAAGGTTTTAATTCAGATTGAAATACAGGCATTATGAGAGCAGGGAGAGATGTTAGAGACAGAATGGGCACAGATTTCTCAAGAGTTATTTAAAAATACATAAGTAAATAAAATTTCATGTTGTGCTGGGAGTGGTGGTGCACACCTTTAATCCCAGCACTCGGGAGACAGGGATCTATGAGTTCAAGGCCAGCTTGATCTGTAGAGTGAGTTTCACGCTAGCCAGAATTACACAGTGAGACCCTGTCTCCAAACATACAAACAAACCAATACAAGTCATGTTGTAGCCTCCCCTCCAAGCCACCACCACTAGAAGCATTAGCGCCACTTAAATGTGGCCTCAGAATTGAAAGGGATCCCTTACACAGCTGACCGCCCCAGTCACCCAGCCCTGGGCAGCACTGAGGCCATGTGGAGAGAGAAGTCACTTACCGAGAACAGGGACAGAAGGCTGTTGTTGTTGCTGTTGTTGTGGCTGCTGCTGCAGCTGCAGCTGCTGGTAAGAGGCAGTGATGCTATTCACAGTGGAACTCGGGCCTAGGACCTAAGAGGAACACAGGTTAGGTGAGCAGAGGTCGTGCTTCAGATGGAGGCTGACCTACTGTCTCCACCAGGAGCAACTGAGGCTGCTGTCTTCTCAGCCATGGTACCGACGGGACAGCTTTCCCTTCCTGTGTGGCTGCAACACGCCAGCTTCTTTACGCTCCTCTCAGACCTCTAAGTCTCCTGACTCCAGAAACACGTAACAGAGGAGGAGGGGCTCTCAACAATACCTGCCTGGCCTTTTCCAAAGGAGCAGACCATAACCTACAGGGAGGGGAAAATCAAAGTCTATGGGACACACAAAGGATCCATTCTACTCAAAGAACTCTAAGAAGCAGTAATTTTTATATTAAAAGAAATACATAGATGTGTCATACCAGGTGGATTTCACTGGGGTCCATGCTGCAGCGAGCTCTGGCAGAGACCAGCCCTCTGCTTTGCTCTCATTCACCTTTGCCTGTGTCCCTGCCGAACACTGTCAGCAGTAACACCATGAGCTCAAGAGCACTTAAAGTGACTCACGGCCCCCTGAACACGGCCCATTTCCATACCAACAAACAAAGCAAATATGCATATTTTCCCTACAAGAGTCACACAGTTGGTACCTCAGAAAGTAATGTGATCTGAACAGAAGTGGAGAGGCATTCTAAATCACTGACTTCAAAACACTGCAGTTTTGAAGATAATTGTATTTCTAGGCAACACCCATTATAGTAAATTCAAACATTTGTGGCATCCAGATTTTTAGCTGCTGTTCTGTGTGGTTTTTTTTTTTGGTTTTTCGAGACAGGGTTTCTCTGTATAGCTTTGCGCCTTTCCTGGAACTCACTCTGTAGCCCAGGCTGGCCTCGAACTCACAGAGATTCCTGTGCCTCTGCCTCCCGAGTGCTGGGATTGAAGGCGTGCGCCACCACCGCCCAGCTCTTGCTGTGGTTTGTAAAGTGCTCTTTACAAATATCCACCCTCTTATCAAACCTTCCAAACATTCAGGTAAAACACCCAGGGAAGTATCCCCAGTAACCTAGGAAATCAAAACCTAGAATCCAGCACATTTCTAGCCAGTGGAATGACTGCAACCTCCTGTCGCTAAGCACCAAACCCACCCTGGTACCCAGCCAGTGAGGCCAGGGCTGGGACATGATGCACACATCTCTTCACCAGCTCCTTCCCTGTTATATTCCACCAACAAGGGGGACTAGAGGGAGAGTGCAAAGCTGGAAGGGAGAGCAACATGTTTGTCTTGAAGGGCCATTCATTCCAGTTTCCATTCATCTCTGAACACTTAAACTAGCCTCATCAGGACCACCACCCTCAACTCTCACTAACAAGCAGCCTCTCCAGAGGATGCAGACCATGGGCTTCTGACCTGTCACCATCCCCAAGCTCTTTCCTTTCCTCCCTCTGCAGGGGCAGAAGCTACTTCTCTAGTCATTCTCCGTTTCTCTCTCAATCTCCTGTACTCCTCTTTTGCCTTTTCAGCCCTTCAATGCTTATTTAATCAACCAGGTATTAAACTCTCCGTGGGAAATTAACGGGTGTGGATTTTGTTTTCTTTATTGAACTCTGAGTGACAACCAGCCTTTCTAAATCCTGATCAAAACTCCACAGTAGATTTGAGGGCTCAAGTAGCCAGCAGAGGCCGAAAGACCAGATGGATGACAATACATGGGGATGCTTCATGGGACACAGAGCTCACCTCCCCCCCCCCCCCCCGCCTCTGTGACTGCAGCCTAGGAAGGGAGCCATCGCCTCTAATCCTAGTTTCCCCTCCCTACTCCACTGTCACCGAAGATTTCCCATCATCCCTACGAGAGCTGCTCTATCTGAAAAGGAAAACAACAACCTACTTCACCTTAGCATGAAACAGGTAGACTGCTGAGGTGAGCACAAAGCTAAGGCCATTTGATCTGACACTGGCAGGGCAAGTCTTCTTTGCCTCCTGACTCTGGGGATGCTGGGAAAAGGGTGAGACTGCACGTGGTGCCCGAGGAAACTTACAGAGGTGACTGCACTCTCCTGGCTGGCCGGAGTCCAGATTTCTGGAGCTGCCTTCTCCAGCAGCTTCAGAGTGCTCTCAAAGGCTTTCTGCAATTCCTTTCCTTGCTCTTCAAACCCAAAGAGAAAGAGCACCCTTAAAATAGTGTGCACTTCATCTGGAGAGAAGAATATGGAAGCGGTGAGTTGTAGCCCCAGCTCCAGCTGGAATCATACAGTAACTTCTTTCCCAGGTGACAGTGTCTAGTGCCACCCTACAGATGCATTCTTCCACCCTCTTCTTCCCAAAAGCTAAGTAATTCAGCACATAAGAAGGAAAGAGACACTGACTGAATGAGCAGAAAGCTGTCCTGTGCAGTCCCTGTTCCTGGCCTAAGCACTACTAACTAGCTCCCAGGAAGGCTTCTCTTTTAGGGCTGGGAAGGGCTGACTTAGGAATGTGTATGGACATGAGCCTCCCACTGACTGGTTATTTCTTCCCTCTAACTCAGTGGTTCTCAACCTTCCTAATGCTGCAACCCTTTAATATAATTCCTCATGTTGTGGTGACCCTCAACCATAAGATTATTTTCATCACTACTTCCTAACTGTAATTTTTGCTACTGTTATATAATGTAAACATCAGATATGCAGGATGTCTGACATGCAACCCTGGGAAAGGGTTGTCTGACGCCCCCAAAGGGGTCCTGGCCCACAGGTTCTAGAATCACTGCTCTACCTCGAACACAGCATCACTGTTGCTTGTTGGTTTGTAAACATTTTATTTGTGAGATCAGAAGGCAACTTTCAGGGAGGTGGCCTTGCCTTCTATGATGTGGGTCCCAGGGATGGATTTCAGATTGTCAGGCTAGGTGACAGGAATTTGTATCCTCTGAGCCATCTCAGCAGTCCCATGCTGCACCTTAACTATGTACACAGCATGCCGGTCTGTGCTACTGCTTGCTACTTTCTGTGGTCAAGAATCATGGTGAGCACTGAGATATACCTTTCAACTTCTCAATGCTCTGGACCACTTCCTTCAGAGCCTCCAAAAGCGCCAGGTCCTCTAGAGGACCCCCTTCTTTGAGGCTGTGCTTCTTCCGCTCTGCCTTGCGCCGGTTTTTAGATGACCTCCTGTCAGAAATGAGAGATGTTGAGAAAAATGTTCCTCCTGTGCCTGCTGGCCACCACCTTCTAAGAAACAGCATTCCTGTCTGGGAGACTTAGTAAAGAGGTGTTACAGCCACATGTAACCAGTGGAGTCTAGGGAGAGGCAAATGAGGAAAGCTAAAGAACTCTTTCTCCCTTCAGTTTGGATTAAAATGCAGGGTAAGATCAGGGGTGATGGCATACGCCTTTAGTTCCAGCACTCAGGAGGTAAAGGCAGGTGGATCTCTATGCATGAGAGGCCAGCCTGGTCTACACAGCAAGTACCAGGCCAGCCAGGGCTACATGGTGAGACCCTGTCTTAAAAAATAAAGGGCAAGGTAAAATAAGGTTCATCTGATAGCACATTGGAACAATGAAGAGAAGAAAAAAAACAAGCCGGGCCGTGTTGGCGCACGCCTTTAATCCCAGCACTCGGGAGGCAGAGGCAGGCGGATCTCTGTGAGTTCGAGGCCAGCCTGGTCTACAGAGCGAGATCCAGGACAGGCACCAAAACGACTCAGAGAAACCCTGTCTCGAAAAAAAAAAAAGGAGGAGGAGGAGGAGGAGGAGGAGAAAACAATGTGAATTCTACTGTAAGAAGTGAACTTTTCAAGGAGGGGCTGGAAGTCCTTGCACAGTGTACACTGGCCCTGAGGGACACTCTCTCACTCCCCCTGCACTGTCCACCCTTGTAGAAAGCCAGTCTATTATTCTGTCTCTGCACAGTCCGCACGCCGACTAGATCTCATACATACGCAGATACCCTGGAGGTACTGTGGGACGGTCTGCTACTCATCTCGCTGCCACTCTCCGAGAAGAGATCTGACTCTGGAGCATGGGCCACCTGGTGACCTAGAAAAGATGAACCAGATGCAGACACAAATGACCATACACTCAATCAGCACATCCTAAAGAATGGTGGACAGTACAAAGTGGATCTCAAACCGAGTAAAGCAGCACTAAATACACCAGTTATTCTCACGACAAACCTGTGCTTTCCCACATTTCCTCTTTTCCTTTCTAGGCGGGAGATGGGGAGGAATTAGGAAACTCATTTTGTGAACACTGAGACATCACTGCTCTGGTTGGACGGGTAAAGGTGGGACTACTTGGTAGAAATTTTCTGATTTCTGCCTGGCTCTGGCCCTAAGCACTTCTCCAACACAGTCCTTCTGCAATGTGGACTTGCAGGCAGCTAGGCCACAGCAAGAAAACAACAGGAGTAGCCTGTCCCTACTCAGCAACTCGTGTGGAGGTTTAACCCCCAACGGGACATGATGAAAGCAAGGGCTCCGTGACATTCAGTCCTGCGTCCTGCTTCTTGTGGGTCTGTGCAGCGAGACTGGCGGCGTCCTCTTTCTTACACGTGTACCTCTTGTCAGCCTGCTTTTCTGAAACAATGCCTTCCCTAAATGTCAGACATACGTTGGCACCAAAACATTGGTGCCATACCCTTCTACCTCCCAAACCATGAGCTCAAACAATCCCTTTCTCTTTATAAACTGACACAGGCCAGCAGCACAGACAAGGTGCATGGCGCCCATCTCCCACACACCACCACGGTCTCTACGGGCTTCTCAGAGGCACTCACCCACATGCACCCGCGGTGCTTGTTTCTTGAGTTCTCGAACCACCAGCAAACGTTTTTTATGGCGAATGAATGTGTCTGTCTGCGAGTTCAGGAAGGCCATGTAATTTTTATGGGCTGAGGATGCAGAATGAAAAATACCTTGAGCATGATTGTTAAGCAAAGAGATAAAACTTAAGTGAAGGGGGTGTGATGAAGGCGGCTTAAAATTCAACAGCAACAAAAAATGTATCCAGGTCTACCAACCAAGATATTTTTTTCATTCCATTAATGAGTTGGAGATACCAGATCTCAGAGTTCATCAATACTGTTGGGAACACGAAGGTCCTTGCACCCACAGACCCTCCAGAGAAACCAGAAATGTTAAGCACTCAGGATTGTCTTTGCAATGGACAAGATATAAAACCTGTTCTTCCATCCAGAAAGTTGGGAACTGGAGGTGATGAATAGCCCGGAGATCTGTGTTATCTGTTAGGTTAGGCTGTATCAAGCTTTCACAACCAGGACCAGAGGTGGCTAGTAACTAATCTAAATGACCTTTACATCACTTGTATAGCCAGGGGCTCCTCAAGCTCCCTCAACCAGGACTAGAGGTGGCTAATAGCCCAAATGACTCCTACACTAGCTGTATGACCAAGACCAGGCCAGAGCCTTCCTTAGGCCCTGAAGCTAACACAAGTAGCCCATCTCCAGAACCCATCTTCTTGGAAGAAATGACATGTACCCCGAGGAGAACTTTGATGTAATTATGCTCCTATGGGCACTAAGGATTGTATCCCAGGAAATTTTCCCTCAAATTATATTGTGTTTAAACACAGGCAATAGAGCGCCTGGCATCAGACTCCCTGAAATCAATCTGAACCGAGTTTTCAGTCTCACCTCTTCAAGGATCGCTGTCTGCCTTGACACCTGCAGAGACCCCCTCACAATACCACCCCAGAATACTCTCAACCACGAAATTGACAAAATCATGATTTCCAAAAAGAAAAAAGCAAACAAAGGGAGTATGCAGGAAGGTGCTAACGAAGGCAGGATGGAGGGAACCTAACCCATGGAAATGGCTGTGGGTGTAGAATAAGGGCTTCTAATGGCCTCTGAAATTACTGTCCCCTGGAAAAAGCACTAGAAGAATAAAAGGAAATACAAATAAATTAAACTCTCTAAGGGCATAGAAACCAGACTCCTGCAGAAGAATTATCAGCATCCCCAGTTGCTGTCAATGGTGAGAACTGCCCGGATGATGGCGCAGGGTCGGGGAGGCTGCTTTCTATAATCAGTCTGGATGACTACAGCAAACAGTGCAAAAGTACCCACAGCTCTAATCAGAACAGTGACGGGGAAACAGACAGGGTGAGAATGTGAGTGCACACAAACGTCACTCACCAGGCAGCCCTGCTTAAAACTGCAGCAAAGCCAACAGGAACTCCCTAAGACTTGGAGGTGGAATTGATGCTCTTCCCCACTTTGCTCTTAAGGGGCCCCAGAGAACTGAACATTCTGCAGCTGTTAGTTAATTCTTCTGTTTTCTAGAGCCATGCACTTTATTTGCAAAAAGTGTTATCTTATCTTAAAAACTTTCAAGCCTACATGAGAGCCTGTCCTAGGCAAAAGAACACACCATTCTCCATCTATGTTTATCCATAAATAACATTTTACTCTATTTTGTCTGTCCTGTTTCTCTATAAATGCGTATGATTGTGTCCACACACACATCCTGCAACTTGTGTAGAATGTGAAATTAAATTGCAGGTGGGCACTTATCTTAACAATAAATAATAACACAGGAATAAAATACAGGGATGTCACCACTGATAAACTACTACTACATAATACAGTGCATATCCAAGTTCATCAACTATCACAAGCACAAAGATTCCCCACAACTACCACTACCAACATGTGACCCACCTCAATGCCAGCAGCCTTCAGGTAGAGGCAGGCTACTGAGGCCAAAGTTTTCTCTAGCAAGGGACACTAAGATTATCACAGCTTTCAATACTCAAATCTCTTCAACGTCATCATTTAACAGCTTAACATATTCTTAAAAACTAGGATGGAGTCAGCAGAACATATTAAAATGTAGTAATATAAAGAGCCCTGTCCTATCCATCTCTTCTCCCTTTCCTCTTAATTCTAAAAGAGAACACCACCCAGATGTAATCCTCACCTTCTAAAACGGAAGGCTTTATGCTGGTTTCTATAATATCCAATCTGCTGTACTTGTATACCTAAGAGGGAAATAAATGCAGTATTTTAAGGCAAGAATACTTCTACCCAATAGAGAGTTAAGACAGAAACCATTGCCAGAGGGGACAGGACATTTTCCTGAGAAGCAAGCTTCCTAAGGGTTGCCAAGGAAATTCAACTCATTTTAACAAGAAACAGCAGTATGCTGCATATGAAGGCCCAATTCCAAACATTAACAAGGATAGGTGGTTGTTATTATTATTATTATTATTATTATTATTATTATTATTATTATTATTATTATTTGAGACAGGGTTTCTCTGTGTAGCCCTGGTTGTCCTGGAACTCACTCTTTAGACCAGGCTGGCATCGAACTCAGAGATCCACCTTCCTGTCTTGCAAGTACTGGGATTAAAGGTATGCGCCACTGACACCCAGCTAAGGCCAGGTTTTTAAATGGCTTTTTAGATGCCGATTATCCTCAGGACTGGAAGCTGAGCCCTTTCTACTTAATGTCACTTACTCAGAAGACAAGGAGTTCCAACTGAACCCCAGCTGCCCTCTCCCTCAGCACCCAGCACAGCACAAGTGTTTCAGAACCTCTCTTACCAGTCTCAGAGCTTCTTCCCAGGCAGCTCCCTCCAGCAGCTGGAGCACAGCCTCTTCATAATCCTGACAAGGGAAGAGTGAGGAAGAACACAGGTGAACGCAGCAGCCTCAGAAGCCACCACACAGAGCCCCTCCACCTTCCCAGGCAACCTCAGCCCGCACAGCTCCAGCTCTCAGCCTCTTTCCTGTCCAAATACCTACTGGATACTAACCTCCAAAAATACTGGCATAAAAGACAAAGGGGGGTGAATCTTCTGAATGGTCACAAAACACAAGGCAAGCAAGTTTTCTTTATATCCTTGAACATCAAAGTCATAAGACAAGCCTGTCAAAAATGGCTCTTTCCCCAGATTACTGCCAGGCTTAACTGAAAACAAGACTATACCCTGAAAAATATGGTGAACTAAACAGTAATTTCCTAGTTGGCTTGTTTCTTGTTGAATTACAGTTCTTCACATATTCTAAGACATTAAACCATTATCAAATAAATACTTTGAAAATATTTTCTTCCACTCTCTAAGCTGTCTTTGTACATTCTTGATAATTCTTCATTTATATGGAATCCCATTTATAGGTTTCGGTTTTAGTTGCTGGTCTTTTGGTGTCAGATCTAAGAATACACTGCCAAGGTATTGACATGGCTACCCCTCTCTTCCCCAAAGCATTTTATGGTTTCAACTCTTGAGATTAGGTTGTTGATACAGTTTGAGTGCCTTCGAGATTTTTTTTTTTAATTTTTATTTTCAAGACATAGTGTCTCTGTGTAGCACTGGCTGTCCTGGAACTCACTCTGCAGATCAGGCTGTCCTTGAACTCAAAAGCTCCACCTGCCTCTGCTTCCCAGGTGCTGGGATTAAAGGCCTGTGCCACCACTGCCTAGCAGCTTCAAGATTCTTACAGCTCGAAAAATACCAAATAAAAATTCACATTTTTAGATTCTCTTGAAAGAGAAGAAGCAGGAAACATATTTTTGTGTCATTTGAAAATGTCTAGTTACAATATCTGTAAAGTTAGGATGTTCTTAAGGAGAAGGGGGAGCAATGGGAAATGCCCTCATCGGGATCCTTGCTCTAGTTTGTGACTGGTATTTACTGTAAATCCCAGAGCAAGCATCAGAACACTTAATAACCAACAGTGGAGAAAAGACGGATTCATGAGAAGTGCTGAGCATGGATGGGAGCCAGAGCTCAATGGACAAAACCTCAACCTAAGCATGAAACTGCACAGAGATGAATCAAAGCAATGGAAAAACATGCCCCAGTTGTAAAAACGCTGGAAGGGCTGTATTCCCAACACACAAAGTCAACTTCAGAATCAAGTACTTAAGGAATTTTAACAGAAATAAAAAGGAATAGTATCTGTCATGATCATAAGCAGGCATCTACCTCCATCAGAGCTTGACAATGCAGGAAGCAAACACTTGCAGAATAAAAGAACAGGCAAAAACACTGGAAATTTAAAGACGTTTTCCTCCCAGCAACTCAGAGTATTTAGAGAATCAATAAGGACATAAAAAGCCAGAACAGCACAGTCAACTGAACTATCCCAATGTAACTAAGAGAACATCATACCATGAACACACACAACTTTTAAAAGAGACCATATTTTGGACTATCAAATGCTTATTTTTTAAAGCATCTAATCAAAACAGAAAATAGAAATCAATAAGAGATGGCTCAAAAAATATCTGTGAGTTAAATAACACACTTTGGAACACACACAGGTCAATGAAGAAATCACAAGGAAAATTAGAAAACAGGCTCAACACACAAGTTGCACAAAGTAACTAAAACAATGATACTATTAATATTTGCTTAGGCTAGAAAGGAAGGGGCGGGAGAGATGGCTCGGTTGTTAAGGGTGCTTCTCTGCAATCATAAGGACCGGCAAGCGGTGCCTTCCCACAAACACACAGACTACAGGTCAGAGTGGGTAGAGATGGGAGGAGCACCATGCTGGCTTCCAACCTAGCTAAGATGTGAATTCCAGGTTCAGGTATAGGTCCTGCCTCAAAGGAATAGCCAGAGTGACTGAGGACACCCAATGCTCTTTTCTGGCCTTGACAAGTACCCAAGCATACACACATGTGCATAAACTCACACAAAAACATACATGCAAAATAAATAAATAAATAAACAAAAAACTAGAAAGGGAAAGTAAGTCTGAAAACACCAGTGATTTTAAGTCCCAAGTTAAGCACTATCAGATTTTTTGCCCACGGATGGTGAAGCAAGTGCCACTGTTCTATTATATGTAATTTTACTATGTTAAAGTTAAAACCTCCCTTTTTGATTAGACAGAAAAGGGAAAGTGCTGTGGGATGTCTTTCTGTATGCTGTGAATATGTGTTGCTCTGATTGACTGATAAAGCTGTTTTGACCTATGGCAAGAAAGCTTATAGCCAGGTGGGAAATCCAATCAGAGATAAAGAGAGAATTAGGGCGAAGTCAGGGAGATGCCAGACCACCGCCCAAGGAGCAACAAGATGCCCGCAGACCTGTAATACTATGGCCATGCGGCAACACATCGATTAATAGAAATGGGTTGCGTTAAGTTATAGGAGCTAGCCAGCAAGAAGCTTGACCCACAGGCCATACAGTTTGTAATATAAGCGTCTGTGTATTTACTCGGGACCAACTGGCTGTGGGACACAGGTGGGAGAGATTCATCCTGACCTCAGGGCCGGGCAGGACCACAGAAACTTCTGGCTACAATCCACCTTGTTTCTACCCCAACATTCCATTCCCTCACTGCTATCAGAACCTAGCCCTTGGGCTTCCAGCATGACCTGAAGACCAGCGCCTCTTCAGGAAGCCTCTAGACCTTCAGTGCTCCCTGACTCGTGGACTGAGCGGCTAGTGGTTCTCAGCCTCACCAGGATGAAGACCACATTGTTAACTACCCAGATGGTACTGAGGAAGGTCACCTAGTGTCCCTTCCTTTTAATATATATTCATTCTATTTGTTCTGTCTCTCTAAGGAATCTTAATACAACCAGTGGCAACTGTAAAACTCTCACAAACCAGGTGTGGTGGCTTACACTTGTAATTCTAGCACTTTGGAGTTAGAGGCAGAAGAATCAGGAGTTCAAGAACAGCATAGCCTATGCTGAGACCCTGTTTCAAAAAGATAAAACAGTATAATCATAAAAATAATAATAATGCCACCTTCCTCATAAGCCTGCAACCTTAGTTTGTTCCCTGGGACCCATAGTAAAAAGAGAGAAGTACCCCCTGAAAGCTGTCCTCGGCCAAATAAGTACAAGTGCACATGTATGTGTGTTTGCATGCACACACACAAAAACAAACAAAACAAGAAAAGCTTTCACTTACAAAAGGCCAAAACTGTGCACAGCAGCAATACTTGGTGTCTACTGTGTGCCTCTGTCCTAACAACCTGTGGTCAAGGTCAGTACAGCTTCAGTACTTACCTTTTGGAATTCTACCACAACCTCACATAGCCACATACAATCTGCTGCAACTCAGGAAACCTCCAAGCTGCCTTGGTTAAAAAGAACTGTGTGGTGATTATTTGGTTTGTGATCTAACAAATAAAGCTTGCCTGAAGATCAAAGTGTAGAACTAAGCCACTAGTTAGCCACAGAGGCTATGCAATGGTGGCAGACATCTTTAATCCCAGCACTCAGGAAGCAGAGGCAGTTGAATCTCTTTTGAGTTCAAGGCCACCATGGGCTACACAAGATTGATCCAGTCTAAAAGAGAAACAGAGTCATGCAGTGGTGGCACACACCCTTGACTCCAACCCTTTAATTTCAGCATTAGGGAGGTGGAGAAGGGAAGTGATATGGCTGGTGAAAAGAGGAATATAAAGTGGGAGGAGAGAGAAGCTCAGCTCCCATTCAGTCTGAGGGATTTGGTAGAGGTAAGAAATCTTTCTAGTGGCTGGCTGGTCTGCTCTGATCTTTCAGCATTTACCCCGATATCCGGCTCTGGGTTCTTACTATTAAGACCAATTAGGATTCATGCTATTGTTTTTAAGAGAAGAATAAAGTACAAAAGAGTGGCCACTACTTAGTGGCCTGTTGTGGAATATTATTTTAAGATGTGTTACATTCGTTTATGCTGTATGCAACTAAGCAAATGTTCCACAGCATAAACGATGCAAAGTTGTGTTGCATTCTTTTATGTTGCATTTGTTTAATTCTGTGAAGTTGTGTTACTCTGCCTGCCTGAAACACCTGATTGGTTTCATAAAGAGCTGAATGGTCAATAGCTAGGCAGGAGTGGATAGATGGGGCTGGCAGGCAGAGAGAATAAATAGAAGGAGAAAAAGAGAGAAAAGAGATCAAGGAATGAGAAAAGGAGGAAAGAAAGACTCCAGGGGCCAGCCACACAGCCAGAAACGGAATAAGAAAAAAAGAAAAATAGAGAAAGGTAAAAGCCCAGAGACAAAAAGATAGACAGGATAATTTAAAGTTAAGAAAAGCTGGCAAGAAACAAGCCAAGCTAAGGCTGGGCATGTATAAAAAAAGAATAAACCTCTGTGTGTGATTTATTTGGGAGCTGGGCCCCCCAAAAGAGTCAAAGAGTAAAACACAACCAACATCAGTGGCCTTTCTTCTAATGGCCCTTGCTCACTGCTTCTGCTTTGGCAAAGTTAACACAGGAAGCTGAATGTGCTTTCCAGAGTCAGGTCACTAGCACACACTGTAGCAGAGCTCTCTAGTACCCTATCCACAGTCTATAATTACAAGCTAAGAATGTGTTATCAGAAGTGCATAGGATCCCAAGTACTTGAGGCTTTTCTTTTGAGATTTTAGAATATTTGCACACACACAATGCATTATCTTGGGAGACAGAAAGAAAGTCTAAGTGTGTTCCTTACACATGACCCATATCCAAAACAATCTTGCAATTTGAATACACCCTGTCACATGTGGACAGGAACAGGATTTTAGCTCTGTGGCATTCCTATCAGTTTTCAAACCTGCAGATTTTGAGGCTTTTCAGGTTTGGATATAGGATGAGCAGTCTACTTATGAGACACACTGGACTAAGATTTTTCAAGTCAAATCAGCAAATGGAAGACCTTTAAAACCAATACCACCTCAAGATCTAACCATTACCACGGTTCCTTCAGTTTCACCATTAGTAGGTACAGGCAAGTCCTTTCTTGTTAATGTGGGGTGACAGGGAAGAGCTCACCTGGGCATACTGCTCCAAGACTATGGCCGCCTCATTGTGTTTCCTCTGCTCAATCAGCCTTCCTGCAAAGACAGCAACAAGCACTTGACAGCAAATGGAAACTGGCTTCCACTTCTGTCCCTATGATGCACCCGACTACAAGCTTCTGAGTTTCTCTGGGGATAGCAGGTGTACTACACAACATGAAGCACACACACACACCCCACCACACCCCATCCAGTTTCACTGTGTATCCTAGGTGGCCATCCTGAAGCCGAAATCACCCTCTGTGACCTCGTGGGATGACAGAGGTATGCTACCATGCCTAGTAAAGGACTCTAAATTAATCACAGGATTTGAAAAATCACATTTAGCCAAAATTAGCTTAAAAAAAAAATGCTTCCAAAGGCATGCATCTGGGCAACCAACTTGGTATCTCTCACTAACGTATTTCTTCCTCTGGTAAGAAAGAACTGTGATTCTCTGGGGGGTCCTAGATGGAGGTAGCTGGTACTATTGGCAGTCATGCAGTCCTTCCTTAGCTCCTACGATCACTCTAGCTGGAAACACCAGATTACAATAGGCACACAAAACCCCAGTGTTAGTAAGAGGCAGGGGGTGTTCATCTGTTCCATCCTATCCCCACTCCAGGACAATTACTAATGAAAAAAGGCCACATAACTACCTCTACTAGTGAAGTGGTTACATTTTTTCCCCACCTTTGTTGGCTTATGTAAATTGCCTAAATTAAATGTGTATACAAAGTAACTGTACTGTATACGGTGGTGTGAATAAGAATGCCCCCCATAGGCTAGTATATTTGAATGCTTAGGGACTGGCACTATTAGGAGGTGTGGCCTTGTTGGAGGAAGTGTGCCCCCGGGAGTAGGCTTTGGGGTTTCAAAAGCCCAAGCCAGTCCAAATATTCTTTCTCTGCCTGCTGCCTGCAGATACAGATGTAGAACTCTCATCTACCATCTCTACCCGCATGCTGCCATGCTCCCTGCCATGAGGATAATGGACTAAACCTCTGAAACTGTATGTAAGCCCCAGTTAAAAGCTTTCCTTTACAAGAGCTGCTGTGGTCATGGTGTCCCTTCACAGTAATAGAACAGTGACTAAGACACTGTACAATGACTTTTAAAGAGCCTAGTTCATGACCTCTGCACCTTCTGCCAATGAACATCTGCAATAACTATGAATATTCTACCTATAAGACAGGATGAATGAGAAGCTAAACTATAAGAAGGGGACACACACACACACACACACACCCTATAAGTTTGGAGGTTTGTTTCAGAACTGCTCTTGAGATTACTGACAATGTAGACAAGACTTTGTTAAAGAATGCTCTAGTTTGAATTATCTCTTGTCCCTAAAACTCATGTTGGAGAACAGAAAGGAGAAAAAGAAACACCAGCATTTCTTAATCTTAAGCACTAGGGAAACCAGAAGCCTATTGCTTTTCACAGGGTTCTTAACCTCTGTTCTACTCTCAGAAGTCAGAATACTAGCCTCAACTCCAGCCACTCAGCTGCCTCTACTTTGTTTCTGCATCTGGTCTTGTCCACACCAGTCCTGGCAACTATAATGGTTTACAACCATATATTGGCCACACCACAACAGCTCCATCCAAAACTTCATCTTTATCTTCTTGAAAGGCCAAGTAAGCCACACTGTTAGGTGTGACCACAATGTCTAAGTGTCAGTGAGTGATATGGACTAATGAACAGTGTAACTTGAGGCCGTTTGCAGGCACAATTTCCTGTCTTAAGAGACTGCAAAGCAACATAACAGATCTACCAGTACCCAGGTCAGAGAAATAAATTGCTTTTTTAAATATGCCAACACATTTGGAGGTGTTTGTGGGACTGTTGGTCTATTTAAAAGAACGTTCTAAGTAAGTCTGACCAGAATGAGCCTGTCTCAAGGAAGGTTGCCCTAAACTTATTTACAGAATTACCAAACAAAGCAATAAACGCAAACCTTTTGAAGAGTGAACACAGAACGGCCCTGCTCACCTGCCAGAGTTCTGGCAAAGCCAGCGATCTCCTCTTCGGTCGGGTGAAGCTGGGAAGCCATACAGAGAGCTTGCTGCCAGTTGCCGCAAGCCAAAAACGCCGAGAGCGCCTTCTGGTGGGCCCCACATCGGGCGAACACAAGGCCCGCTGACTCATACAGCTGCTCTTGCATCAGGTGCTCTCCATATGTAACACTGACCGCCTGCAACAAGACAGGGGGATCTGCTGAGGAAATGTGATCGTACTTCTTTACAGTTCCAATGGAGCGTCTTCCTTTTTCTGCTCAAGTCCTTACTAAAGATGCAAGATTTATTCACTCAACATACACTGAGTACCTACATATGCATGATTCTAGATGTTGAGAATAACAGTGACACACACAGACACATAAAATAAACAAACAACTAAATATCAAAAGAAAAACAACAGCAGTCCATTTAAGCCTTTGTGCTACACAGAATGGACTTAACTAACACAGCGTGGCCTATAAGAAGTGGTAGAGGAAGATAAAATGCCCGAGAATGATGGGTATGAAGGCTACAAGGAAATGAAGCTATGTGAAGAGTCAGACGAGAACAGGTAAGGCAAAGGGGCTATGCGGCAAGAATGAGCAAGGGAGATTTGGAAGTAATGAGGTCAGTGTTGCTGGAGCTGGGGAAGATGAGAAAACAAGGACTGCCAGGCAGCCATATGCTAAACCCTGCACTGCCGTGGCTGGGGGTGAAACAGAGACATAGGAATACGACACACAGTCCGTTCCCTTCTGCAGGCCACAGCCCGCCCGGCAGAGACAGAGGACTACATCGTCAGTTTATTTGACCCCTAGTCTAAGGATGGTTTTCAAGGGAGACTCGGAAAGTCTATGGACAGGTGGACTCAGGAAGAACACAAGAGAAAGCTGGCAGGTCATGAGACACCACATCTCGGGCACAAGCTACAGGTAACTGAACATACGAATGCCAGAAAGTGGTGCTAAAGAGGTTGGCATGTGAGGCTAGAGAGCTATCTCGGAGGTCAGGAGCACTTGCTGCTCTTGCAGAGAACCCCAGGTTCAGTTCCCAACACCCATTATCAGGCAGCTGGCAACTGCCTGTAACTCCACTTTCAGGGGAGCCAACACTCTCTTCGGGCCTCTGTGGGCACCTGTATGAACCTGGTGCATATACAGAGGAGCATACACATACATAAGAATAATGATAATGATAGCAGTAATAGTAATAAACAGCTAGCAGGAGCTCTATCACAGAGACACGTGTGACGGCCAATCTTGGTTGTCAAAACACCTGGGAAGAGGGACCCTCAGCTGAGGAACTGCCTCCATCAGCGTGCCGGTGGCTATGTCTGTGGGGGCGTTTTCTCGATTTCTAAGCGATGTAGAAGGAACCCGCTCACTATGAGCAGAGCCGTTGCTGGACACGTCAGCATGGGCTGTGTAAGGCGGAGGCTGAACAAGAGCCACCGAGCACAGCAGCAAGCAGCTTTCCCCCGCGGTTTCTGCCAGGGTCCTCCCTTTCTTCCCCGGGCTGCTTCTGGCCAGGGTTTGACCAGAGCATAGAAAGTAAACGCGAAGAGCATGTATGCACTCCGCAGACAGATGGACACGGTGATGACAGCGGCAGGGCCGAGGACAAAAGTGAGGAATGGATGGCCCCTGGTGGTCACAAAGCCTGCCCTCAGCACCCCAGGCATGCCACTCTGCAGCTCTGACACTTCTGCAAGTTGTGGCCCCATCTGTAAACTGGGCACAACGCTCTATCAGGAGATAAGGATGACCACGTAACACATTTAACTTAGAAGCAAAGTACCTGGTACATTAGAAAACCTAAAGAGATGTTTATCTAAACAAACAAAGATCCCAAACTCCTGAAATACTGTTGCCCTTGCTAACTTTTCCTAACAAGTTCTAGAGGAGACTGACTGGATGTAGGACAAACCTTGAAGCCAAGGACAGTGTTTGGACTCAACGTGTCCTCACTTTCCAACTAATTCCCGAAGTAAAATCAGAGGACCTCATTTCACATTTCACCCACCACATACCTGGTACTGCAGTGATTCTGGGTGATATAACTTCAGAGCTTCCTTATACAAGTTTTTATCTTTTATCAAATTTAAGCATTCTGTGAAATGCTCAGGTCCTGTAAAAGTAAGATTTACACAAACACAGGTATAACACTTTGGAAGTATAATGGCTTTCACTTACGCCTGTTTCCTAAGCAACATTTTGTATGTGTGCTCATGTGTGAGCATGCATGTAGAGGCCAGAGGACAACCTGAGGTCTTGTTCCTCATGTCCTCAGCTGACAGTCCTCAGAAGGCACTGTCCACCTTGTTTTTTGAGACAGGGTCTTTCATTGTCCAGAGCTTGTCAGGTAAGCTAGGCTGGTTGGCCAATGAGACCCTGGGATCCGCCTGCCCACCTTCCTAAAGCTGAGATTACAAACAAGCACACGCCATTAAACCAAGCTTTCTCATGAGGGTTTTATGGAATGAACTCGGGTCCTCCTGCTTACAAGGCAAGCACTGTACTGCCTGAGGTATCGCTCCAGCCTCCTCCCAACCATGAGCCTTTACAGTCTCTACAACTTCATCTAAAGAACAGCTTCAAATGTGAACTTCTGGTGAGCATCACTCTGAATTCTGAGGGAAAAGAAGATCTACTTGGATAGGGTTACTCTAGGGACACTTGCTACACTCTGTTGCTCAATATTTTCTCACGCTCCTCCACAGGAACACCTGGGAGCTGATTAAATGCTCCCTTCAGGCCTCACTCCCATCCAGCCGAATCAGAATCTGTGGTGGTATGGTGTTCCCCAAAATATTGTGCACCCTAATAAACTTATCTGGGGTCAGAGACAGAACTGCCACTAGATACAAAGGCTAGAAAATGGTGGCACTCACATCTTTAATCCTAGCACTCCAGAGGTAGAAATCCCTCTGGATCTCTGTGAGTTCAAGGCGACATTGGAAACAGCCAGGCATGGTGACTCATGCCTTTAATCCCAGAAAGCGAGCCTTTAATCCCAGGGAGTGATGGTAGAAGGCAGAAAGATATATAAGGCGTGAGGACCAGGAACAAGAAGCATTTGGCCTGGTTAAGCATTCAGGCTTTTGAGGAGCATTTCAGCTGAGACCCATTCTGGATGAGGACTCAGAGGCCTCCAGTCTGAGGAAACAAGACCAGCTGAGGATCCAGTGAGGAGGTAGCTGTGGCTTGTTCTGGTTCTCTGATCTTCCAGCATTCACCTTAATACCTGGCTCAGGTTTGATTTTATTAATAAGACCTTCTAAGATTCCCTCTACATCTGGCACCCAACGTTCGTGGTACAAATTCTCAGAAAAACTGCTTGCCTGTGGCCTTGTGGGCCCCTGCTCAGACCGAAACTACCCTCAGCCAGTTGTGGTGAAGCACACTGGTTGGATTTACTGAAGGAGGCAGAGGCAGGAGGATCCCAAGTTTGAGGCTGGCCTAGGAGGCTTGCTAAGGAAAAGCTTCGACCTGGGCCCAGCCACAAACGGTGGTGGGACCATGGAGCCAGAAGCTGCTGCTCCAAATTGCTAGCTCCTTCTCATCATGTTGGTGACTGCAATGATGCTGCTACCTGGGACAAAGGGTTTACCGCTGCTTGTTCAGAGAAGAATTGCCAGGACCATCGAATTACAAGAAAGCATCAGCAAAGGTCAGTTTGGAAAAGTTTGACAAGAAAATGGTGAGGAGAAATTGCTGTAAAGATTTTCTCTTCTAGGGAAGAATGTTCATGGTTCCGAGAGACAGACATTTATCAGACTGTGATTACTCCAAACCACAGAGGAGGCACAAAAAAAAAAAAAAAAAAGTCTGCGTGGAACCATGACCACACCTAACAGCAACTTTGAAATCTTCAAAAGGACTATGGTAAAGCCATTAAGCTGATTAACACCACGGAAAGATCGGCTTTGGACTACAAACTGGTCAGGACAATTTCGAGATGGCTAGCTGAGATGATCCAGCCTGACAGACTACTCGAAAAAGGACTTGTGACAAGCCCTGAACTTTCCTATTATACAGAGACAAGAGAAACGATATAGGACTTGACAACCCAAAAAATTTCTTTTCAGGATCCCCTAAAGATGGAAGTAATTTTAAGAAAATGACGGCCACATTCCCCAAGAGGTGGGATGGGAGGTTTTTGGTCATTTAATGAGTTATGGATATTGTCATTGTTTATGATGGTTGGTTACAAGTTGTTAATTGTTAATGGTCAGGAAAAAAGCTGAACATGGAGATTAGATTCAGAGCTTTTGTTTAAAAAAGAAAGAAAAAAGAGAAAAGAATACAGATATGAGATAGATCACTGAATCTATTCTGAGAAAAAAAATAAAGAATAATAGGATAAATGGGCAGATCACTGAATCTACACTAAAAAGAAAAAGAGGAAGATATAAAAATGACAAAAGGTAGATTACTGAATCTATTATGAAAAGAAAAAATACTTTTAAAAAGGAATTACTTGTTTTAAATAAGATGAGTAATGAAAATTTCTGGTCTGAGTTTATCAGATGTTACTGGACTGGACATTGTTAATATATATAATGGAGTTTTTATCTGAATCTGTCAAATGTTAATGGACTAGACATCATTAATGTAATTTTTGGCTATATTATATATACTTATTGGATAGTTTTTCTTGTATTAGTTATAAGCTTTTTTATTTTTAGACAAAAAAGGGGAAATGTGGTGGTATGGTGTTCCCCAAAATATTGTGTACCCTAATAAATTTATCTGGGGTCAGAGAACAGACAGCCACTAGATACAAAGGCTAGAAAATGGTGGCACTCACATCTTTAATCCTAGCACTCCAGAGGTAGAAATCCCTCTGGATCTCTGTGAGTTCAAGGCGACATTGGAAACAGCCAGGCATGGTGACTCATGCCTTTAATCCCAGAAAGCGAGCCTTTAATCCCAGGGAGTGATGGTAGAAGGCAGAAAGATATATAAGGCGTGAGGACCAGGAACAAGAAGCATTTGGCTGGTTAAGCATTCAGGCTTTTGAGCAGCATTTCAGCTGAGACCCATTCTGGATGAGGACTCAGAGGCCTCCAGTCTGAGGAAACAAGACCAGCTGAGGGTCCGGTGAGGTGAGGTAGCTGTGGCTTGTTCTGGTTCTCTGATCTTCCAGCATTCACCTTAATACCTGGCTCAGGTTTGATTTTATTAATAAGAACTTTTAAGATTCCTGCTACAAGAATCTCCATGGAAGTAGGAGCTGAACATACACTTAACAAGCATCACAGGTGTCCTCAGTGACAAGTCACAACTGTTCCAGCACAGGACAGGGGCAGTAAGGAGGAGCCCACAAGGTGCTGCTGTGGTTCTGCAAACCATCACTATAGGCAAGCAGGGTCTGTTTCCATTCCATATTGACAAACACTATGAAACGGGATTATCCAGTAGTTCTGACTGAAGCACTGAAGTAAATTTAGGAAGTGCTCAATCCTACCCCAGAAAGAACCTGTTCTCAGCAAGGGTACCCCCAGCTCTTTAAGAGAGATCTGCTTTACCCTCAACCTTTCAGGGCACAAGAGTAAAAATAAGGTGAACAGGCAACAATCAGGTTTTCTGGAATGGAAACTGAAACCCATCTGTCTAGGATAACCTTGTATCTTATAACTTGCCTAGTTCCAAAGAAGCCTTGAAGCAGTAATAAACACTACAGCCCCTACTTACCACAATTGCTGAGGTGCCCAATGGCCTTTTCGTATCGTTTCAAGTACTTGTCTATGGTGAACCGCTGGTAATTAGTTTCCATTTTCTTAAGTGCATTAAGAAATGGAAGATATTCCTTAGGATCCTAGAAAAAAAGTTACCTGTGATAGTTATGTAAGACAATGAACATAGGAGAACATAATTCTAAATGTGTATTACAATACATATCAATTATATATAATACATCAAATCAAATTTTGGGAAAAATGCTTTCATATTTGAGAGTTATTAGTTAAAATTTGGAATAGTAATCATGAACCTCAACTCCTTCATGGGCTGATATGGAAACAAGCCTGTAATCTGGAAGACAGTCAACAATGACCCGAAGTCCCTCCTAAAGAGCCAGGCCTGGCTCTCGAGGTCTCCTGTGACACAGCATACGTGTGAATTATGAAGAGCCCACATCACAGCAAAGGGACAGTGTACTGAGTTGGATGCAAACCTATGAGGGCCTGCGACATCCTGCTCTGCACCATGCCTAGTACTCGGGTTTTTCAGCTTCCTGGCTAGGGACACAGGCTAGCGCAAGCAGAAGGACACTGAGTCAGATCCCCAGAACCCACCCACATAGAAAGCCTGTTATTCTGGCACTAGGGAAGTGGACACAGAGGCCTAATGGCCAGTCAGCCAACCTACTCTACTTAGTGAGTTCCAGGTCAAGAGAGATCCTGTCTCAAAAAGAAAAGTATATGCACACAGAAACATACAGAGAATGGGGCTTAGGAGCACTAGCTGCAGTGTTGTGGAATATTAGTGTAAGATGTGTTACATTCGTTTATGTGGAATATGTTTAATGATGCAAAGATGTGCTACATTCTTTTATGTTGCATTTGCTTAACTCTGTAAAGCTGTGTTTCTTTGCCTGTCTAAAGCACCTGATTGGTCAAATAAAGAGCTGAATGGCCAATAGTAGGCAGGAGAGAGAAACAGGCAGGACTGACTTACAGAGAGAATGAATAAGAGGAAAAATCTAGGGAAGAGAGCAAGGAGCGAGGAACGGAGAAGAGGACACCAGGGGCCAGCCACAGAGTAAGAAGAAAGAAAGACATACAGAATGAAGAAAGGCAAAAAGCCCAGAGGCAAAATGTAATGAAAGAGAAACTGGATAATTTAAGTTAGAAAAGCTGGCCAGAAACAAGTCAGGCTAAGGCCAGACATTCATAAGTAAGAGTAAGTCTCTATGTATTTATTTGGGAGCTCGGTGGCAGGCCCTCAAAGAATAAAAAACCCAACTACACTGTGGAGACCCAAATCTGTATCCACTCATAGCATTAGAAAAAGTATTGCTCTCTAAAGAGCAGGGTCCTACACTAGTAGGATTATATAAGTAAGTTTCAAAATGGTGTAAAAAGTATGAACTCCACATACCTTTTGTGACTTCTCAGCTACCATGAGGACTAAATCAAAGTCATAGGTCCCAAGAGAATGATCATATAGTTCATTGACATCTACCCAGAGTAGGAGGTACTTCAAGGCCTCCTCTGTACTCACAGACTCAGCAACAGAGGGATCATTTCCTGTTGGTGGTTAAGAAAAAACAGGCTGGAGGTGGAGCTCAGTCAGTCAAGTGACATCCAGCACACATGAAGCCCTAGGTTCGATCCCCATGCCCTATAAAACCAGGCGTGCTCCTGTCATCTCAGTACGCAGGAGGTGCAGGAAGGAGGATCAGAAACTCAAGGTCACCTGTAGCTACCTGGTTTGAGTTTGAGGCCAGAATGAGCTAGCTACATGAGACCTTGCATATATATGAAAGAAAGAACAACGGAACAGTCATTTGGGAGAAACTACTGGCCCAGCAAACAAGTACTAAGATTTTCTGACAGACTGGGAGACAAGATGACTCATTCATAAATGCTTTACACCCAAAATCATGACATTTGAAAATGGTGACCAAAAAGCCATATGTTAATTCTGTGGCGTGCAATGACAGAGCAATGGTCACCGGCAGAACAAGGACTGCCAAGGCCAAGTCAAACAAGTGTCTGTGTGCAGGTCTCTACCTTGAAGTTCGTGTACCTTCTGCAGCACAATTTCCAGTTCCGGGGGCGTTTTCTTCACATGAGATGTGAGTATCGACAGGCAGTACCTGAGGTAGTAAGTGAAACACCAGAATGACAGGAAGAGTAAACCGGACAAAGCCATCTCCACATCCTGTTATTCCAAAGATGCCAACAATAAAATAGCACCCACTTGTGAGGATTGATGCTCTCCATGGCTACTCTCATAGCGTCACAAATAAGGTCAACTTTCTTCCTATCAGGATCCCTGGATGTCTGGACACCCTTGGAAACCGGTGGAGGGTACATAGTCTTTGTGACATCTTCTTCCCTAAGAACCAAAGGTATGAATAGGTCACTTACCAAACAGTCTGGTGATCCAACTACTAACATATATTAGGCAGGCTTATGAGACAATAAAGAAAAAGGACCTGGAAAGTTATTCAAGTCGTGAGTAATCAAACATATCCACAAAAGGCTTACTCAATAATGTTCATAATTTTGCTCACATTAACCTAAAGCAGGGTACAACCAAGGTGTCCAGGTAACCAGAGAATGAAGAAAGGGTAGTATAATTTACACATCAGTATACTATTAAGCAATTAAAAATGAATGAACTAGTGATGCATGCAAAAACATGGCTGAGCTCAACTCTGAAAGTGAAAACAGCTGTATTCACACCATAGTAAATACTTTCTGGCTACATTATGCAGTTAAACAGAAAAGGCTGACCTGTGCTGAAACACAGAACAGTAACTGCCCAAGAGCTGGGGCACAAGGACTAATGGAGAATAGATGTGTTGGATTAAATGATATGTAAGCATGTGCTGAAACTCACTGGATGGAATATTAGACATTCTGCAGCAGTTAACTACCCCACACTAAGAGTATAAAATGCGACCCAAGGTGAAGAAAATGGAGTGCTGTCTTCAACTTCCTTTGCCATCCATCTAAACCAAGAAGAGTGTGGGTGGGTCATGGATAGCAATAAAGGCACATAGAGCAGGACAGCATGACTACAAAAACTGGGTGGGATCACTAGACGTTTCCAACAGTCAACGTCTTCCTAGCTTAGAAAGTTTCATTAAGGAGTTGGTGGGAAAAATCACCACAGAGAAAGGATCATATTTGAAGCCAATCTCATGAGAAGAATAGTTTTACAGCAAACCTAAGAAACAAGCCAAATAATAATTCAGGACGAGAGCTTTAAAATCAGTTTTAAAACTGCTGTTGCTAAAGGTCTAGAGCAAAAACCCTACTGAGCCCTCACTGTTACAATGACTTATTATAGGAAAGAGACTTTTGTTCTTCAGCTACATGGGTTTGATTTCTTTATCAAGAGACAATACTGAGAACATGATACTCATGTGTTATCAAAATACTTACTTTAGTTCTGTGAAAAACAAGTTAATATGATTTACAGAATCTATCTGCTTTACGAAGGTTTCCACATTTTCAAGAAATACCTATCAAACAACAAAATGTACAAGCACTTTAGTTCAGATCGTCTTCACTCAAGAATAAAGTTAGAAGACAAGTCAGATGCACACACTACCTTAGGGTTATGATCATAAATCAGATTGAGGTTAATTCTCAGTTTTCTCATGCACTCAAATGCTTCCTTAAACTTAAGTCTGCAAAGACAGAGAAAATAGATAAAAAGCATATTTCATGAGAAACTAGTTCCCTGGCCTAGTGTATTTTCATTACAACACAGACCAGCTACAATATGATTACAGCCCATATAATAAACAAGTTCTCCTGGTTTTTAGTCTGAAATTACAGAAGGAAAAAATAACAGGTGGCACATTATTGTCCTTTCCAAATGCATAGTTTAGTTACCACAGGAGCCTGGACTGTATGTCCTTACGTGCACACAGGTACAGTCACACACAGCTTACTTGTCCAGCCACTTCCGAATCTGAGCCAAGACCAAGGCCCGATGATGAACAACTTCCAAGTTTCCCCTTGGCATCTCAAAAGAAATCAAAACATCTCTAGTCAATTGGAAACCATTGAAGCAGCAGAATGCAGTTCTATTTAACTCACCCTGAACCACCACAATGCTATAATAAATATAAATATAATGTAAAATTAATAGAATCCAGTTTGTGCTCAATGTTTATCTTGATTTTCAAGCAAGTTTCTGTAGTGGGTAGCCATTCCAGCTTGGATCTGGAAGTTCCAACCCCCACTGAGACTCTGGCAACTGTCACGCCTACGAGGCAGGGCCAGGGGAGGCGCCTGGAGACCCGAGAGCTGGATGGGCCAGCGCTCTCTCTGTGTGCTCTCTGTGCCAGGACGCTGAACGGTGAAGGTTGACTGAGCAGAGCTCCAGAGAACACCGCTGGACTGCGATACACCTTTCCCAGACCCTGCGACCTACCTATCACTTAATTTGTGAGTTACGCCATTAAATAAATATCCTTTTAACTACGTGGAGTGGCCAAAATAATTTCACCTCCTCTCTTCCACTGGAGGCCTACACACCGCCGATTGTGCCGCCTCCATGTCTCTAGTGATCCCTGAGAAGTTCCAGCACATTTTGCGAGTACTCAACACCAACATTGATGGGCGGTGGAAAATAGCCTTTGCCATCACTGCCATGAAGGGTGTGAGGCGGAGATATGCTCATGTGGTGTTGAGGAAAGCAGACATTGACCTCACCAAGAGGGCTGGAGAACTCACAGAGGATGAGTTGGAACTTCCAGATCCAAGCTGGAATGGCTACCCACTACAAGTTTCTCTTTAAACTTCATTGGTCAGAGCTTGTATCAATCGACACTCCTTCGCATAAAACCAACAGATAGCCAAGAAAAAAGGGTTTTAACCTGCTGAAGGGTGCCATAGTTTAAAATGCAGCTTGTCAGTACTCTGTGGTAGTGACTGGACCATAACAGGAAGTCTGAAGAATCGAGCTTACCTGTAGTATAAGCTTTGTGTCCTGGGGAACAACTGTGACAATCCGTGAACCCCTCTCCACTTTCCGTAGAATTTCTCTATTGTCCTCATTATTACCACACAGACCAGCCTGTAACACTAAAAGTACCACTGCCTGAGACTTGAGAACGACCAAAGCAAGCCACATTCCATTCACTGCCACTGAAGCTGCCCAGCATCTGAAACTCAGTTCATGCCCAGTTCTTTGTTCTCTCACTCAGCCTCAAGATCTCTGGCCCTTCCTGTAACCTCACTTCTGGGAAGGGCCCTCTCTTTACAGAGCCCTCACACACATTCACACACACAGTTTCTTAAGCAATTCGAAAACACGGGGATTGGAGCAGCTTTTCTATTTCTTAGCATGACCTTCACATTATGGTATACTAGTGGCAGAAAGAGTTCCTGCTTCCAAGTCAGCAACCAAGAAAACAAACTGGCCTTTTGGAATAAGGACACACTGGGGAGAGGGGGAGGTAATGTAATAAAACTCAGTACTAATCCCCTACAAATCTCAAGGTGATGTCCAGAAGTACAATGGTAGCTAAACAATGAGAAAGAATCATTAAGAAGAGTTAGAGCATATAGCCAGTAGGGGATCGGTGTGGGAACTTCAAGTATTAGATGAGCTGGATAATAAAATTTCATGAAGAATTTTTTAGAATGTGTTACTTAAGTTAGGATTTATTTGTGGAGTCTCTAGTAACTGAGACAGAATGATTTAGCGAAGATACTATGTTGAGGAGGTTAGAGAGGTGGCCCGGGGTGAAGAGTATGTACTGCTATTTCAGAGGACCCAAGTTCAGATCCTAATGCCCACGCTGGGTAATTCACAATTGACTGTAATTCCAACTTTAGAGCATTCAATGCCTCTGGCCTCCATGGATACCTGTACCCACACACACATACCCATACATAGGTGCGGGTATTCATGTTCGCACATACACCGACACAATGTTAAAAAAAAACAACAAAAAAAAAAAACTAAAACTAAAACAATACTGTATCAAAGAAGCTAATAAGTGAGCCTATGACTCTGTGGTAAACAGCCAAAGTAGATAAAGAATTTAAAAGTCATCAAGACTTCAAGACACTGAAAAAAGGGAATACCTCCATTTTGTAAAGTAAAAGCTTACTTTTAAGTGAAGCATCCTTCAGGAAAAAACACTGGCAGGTATGGGAATGGGTTGTCAACAGTAAAAACTCATCACACACTGCAAATGATGTGATATTTGATGCAACCTGCGACAGACAAAACAGGTCCAAGGGGAGTTAGATATTGTACTTGGAAACAACACTGTGATAAGGATCTACCAAACCAAGCCTAGATACCTCAGTGCCATTGATGAAAAAGCGACACCTGTCAGTCAGACCAAGGACACACTCCTGTAAAGAAATAAAACTCAAATTACAAGCAACTCTACTCACAGGCACCTAAACCTATGGTCAGTTCTAGCGCTCTGATTCCCTAAGCCTCTGTAATCAGGACTGAATGTAGACAGCTAAGCCGGGCTAGTGCCATGCACAGTGGATACACCACCACCCAATCAAACAAGCCACTCTATCTACTGCGCTCATTTTGAATCTGTCTCAGCCTCTTCTTTGACTCCTCCTCCAAAAGTCTATGTTGATCTCCCATCCTATTTCCATTCCTCTCCATCCTACTCCTCTGGGCAGCCAGAACCACATATCAAACATGAAGGAGAAAACATCTCTCTGATGATTAAAAAATACCAGTAGTTTCATCCTTTTCAGAGAGGGTAAGAGGGTTCACTTTTAATTATTTATCAGATTAAAAAGAAAAAGTAGTGCTTATTTCTCTTCACTCCCAACATTTCTGTTCATCTAGGCCAAGTGAAGAGTCTTACTGAACAGTGATTTATACTCCTGGCAGGGACACAGTCCTGGCCTCTGCTCTGTGCCACCTCAAGTGGGAAGGACAGCATCATACCTTAAGCAGAAGACCTGAGCCAGGATGTACAAGGTGGCTGTGGCCTACAGCATCTGCCTTGAACTGTCATGTACTGTGCCCATCTTTGTAAACTCAGCGTTTTCAAGAACCTTCTCCTGGGACCACTCTCCCTTTCTAGGAACAGCTTTCTCCTGTGTCTCAGCACACTCACCACAGCAGTCTCAGAGGCTTTCTTGAACTATCATCATTATAACTCTCATCCTCTAGTTATCCCCAAACACCACTATTTGCTACCATCATACACTGTTCCTTGCCTTCACTCTCCTGTCAAAAGGAATGATTCTATCTATATCAAAAGAAGGTGTGGTAGTTTAAATGACTATGGCATGCATAGGCTCATATAGCTGAATATTTGGTTCCCAGTTGGTGGAACTGTTTGGAAAGGATTAGGAGGTGTGGCCTTACTGGAGGAGTTATGCCATTGCGGCAGGCTTTGAGGTTTCCAAAACCCAGGCAATGTCCAGTTAGAGTGCTCACTCATGCTCTCTTGCTTGTATTCTCATATTCTCTCCCCCCTTCCCCTCTCTCTCTGCCTTGTGGTTGTCTCAACATGTAAACTCTTAGCTACTGTTCGGCATCATGCATGCCTACCTACTGATATACCCCCACCATGATGATCATGGATTCTGCTACCCTCTGGACTATAAAGCGTCCAAATTAAATGCTTTCTTTTGTAAGTTCCCATGGTTATGGTGTCTTACCACGGCAATTGAAAAGTAACTAGACAGAAGTTGTTTTGTTTTATAACTACTAAATCCTACAACTCATCAAATACAAATATTCTAATATTTATGAATGACAATCTGTTGAATATTATTTTTCAGAATGTATACTTTCATCATAAGGTATTTAATAAAGCTTTGAGTACTCTGTGAGATATGAAATTAGCTAATTACACATATTATCTCCCTAAATTCTCTCCTGAATGCTGAAAGCCTGACTTTCCCCTTTCCTATATGAAGAAGGTGGAACTCAAGAAAGAAAGATAATTTCCTGTCACTGCCCTGGGATTCAGCGGCAACGTAGGTCCAGCTACACAACCCATGCTTTTCCCCCCAATGCCCTTGGCACTAACTATTCTTCACAGTCAACTGTCCTGTGCGGTGTTTACCTGCCCCCCAATCACGGCCACTTCCATCTGTGTGCATGGATGAGCAAATCGAACACGAAGTCCTTCAGGGCTCTTCCATGGTTCCACAGTCAGAGACGGTGATTCTGTTGTAAGATTAGCAAATTTAGTTTACAAATAGCTCATCAGCTCTTTCTTGTGAGGCGTTGAAAGAACAAAATAAACAACATCCCCATCTCACCCCCCAAAAAGGAAACAAACAAAACACAGTATGCAATTTGGATTTCTCTCCATTCATCAGGATACTCCGAACAGGAGCAGACTAGGCCCGCCCGCCAACACTGCTCTCCAGCATGGCATCGTGGGGCAGCAGGCTTAGCCGTTGGGTGGAGGTGTAACTCAGCAATACAGTGCTTGCCTAGTGTGCATGAAGCCCTAGGCTGGAATCTCAGCACGGCAAACAAGCAAAAGTCAACTAACAACCAAGTAAAGGAAGTCAGATTCATAAAGACGAGCACCACACATTCTGTCTTATACACAGACACTAGACTTTAATCTCTATAATGTATGGAGTGTGGGTATAGGTCATGATACCACGAAGGAGATCAAGATGGGAAGAAGAGTCCTGGAAGGTTGGAAGAAAAAAGAGGGTAACAGAGTACAACTGACATAAAAGCAGGAGGGAGGGAGGGGACCACCAGGAGGAGTGGGGAGGGAGGACCAACAAAAACAATGCATGGAAATGCCATAATGAAAGCTATTACTTTGTATGCTAAAAAGAATAACTAAAGACTGGGAATAAACGATCTCCAATAATCAAGTAGCACTGACAAGATACTCACAAGTACATAGTCTCAAGAATTATTTATTTCTATGTCTGCTTTCCTAAAATTCTGATACTCACCCCAAAGGCATCTGAGCACCTGGCCATCAGCCAGCTGTGCCACTAATGACTTGGTCTTGGAACTGCAACATAAACCAATGACGACCCCATCCACTAACACAGATGAACTAAAGCAAAAAGCAAGCAAACAAACAAAACAATAGGAGGTAAGTATAAAAGAGGTAATCTTTCTTAAAAATGGAGACATTTCACTGATTTTGCCATAGTGAAAACTAACAATGACCCTTTGGGGATACACTGCCCAAGTCAATATACTACATAAACTCTTTACACAGAGTGCAAGAGTCACAGATACAGACAGACAGACTGACACACTTCTCAAGAGCCAGTAAGCTGGCTGTCTACCCTAGAGGAACAGCATTCCCACTCAGTTAGTAGCTCATTATAATGTACTGCAGTTTATTGATTTCCTTATGTATTCTTTTTTGGTATGTTTGTTGGTTTGTTTGATTTGAGACAGGGTCTCACTATGTAGCTCTGGCTGTCCTGGAACTCACTATGTAGACCAGGCTGGCCTGGAACTTACAGAGATCCTCCTGCCTCTGCCTCCGGAGCACTGGGATTAAAGGCATGCACCACTACACTCAGCTTCCTTATGTATTCTAACATTTAAACTACATCAGCTGGGCCTGGTGAGAACAGCCTGTAATCTCCCAGCTACTTAGGGAGCTTAGGAAGGAGAACTGCAAGTTCCAGAGATGCCTGGGCCATTTATTGAAATCCTGTCTCAAATTTAAAAAAGTAAAAAGAATACTGAGGAGGGCTGTAAAGATGGCAAAGAGATTTAGAGCACTGGTTACTCTTCCACAAGACCCAAGTTCAGTTCCTAGTACCCACATGGTTGCTCACAATGACCTGTAACTCAGTTCCAGGAGATCTGATGCCCTCTCTGGCATCCATGGGCACTGCACGTACATGGTGCACATACATTCCAAACACCCATAAACATAAACACAAACATAAAGAAAAAAGAAGGCTGAGGACATATGCTTCCCTAGCATATTCAGGGCCTACATTCAACCTTCAATACCACTAAATACATAAATAAATAAATGACGGAGAAAAATGCAATTTCTTAAAGGAGAAGGAACCTATAAAAACAAAGCCATTGCTAGGATTCTATTCAAGGAGCTACCTTATTTTTAACTAATCTTAAAAAAAAAAAAGAGGGAAGAGAAGTAAACTCTAAAAACAGGTTCATTTCTCTACCACCGACCTCGAATTTTGTGAGGGACAAACTACCTTCCAGAGATTGAGAAGATGGAGCTAGACAATGGGACTGGGTCCTGCTTGAGCAGACAACTCAGTTGATTCTTTACACCTCAGAGGCCAGTCCTCAGGTGGAAAGTGCTGCCAGCACAGGTCAAAGAGTGTGTACACAGAGGACAAGTGAACTCCTGCGGGCACAACACACGAAGAGCATGCCTACAGTGTGCAGCCACCATGAACGCAGGCTACCGACAGCTCTTAACTGACCGAGTGCCATTCCATCTCTCAAAGACATTAGTGTTTTATATGAACAAAAAGCAGTCTTTTGAGAAACAAAAATTAAAACAACAGAATCATAAAGGACTTTCTTACTTAGATCCCTAATGTTGAAGAAGTTAGAAACTACAGAAATGTGGACATTTCTAATGCAAACTGTAGTGTTTATCAGAAAGCAGGGTTCTGCCGAATTCAGGGCAGCACGTATCTCCTGCAGAACACAGTCAACATGGAGATCTTCACAGGAAGCTTCTTCAAGACAGCATGAAGCTTGGTGAGTTACCATCAGAATGGGATCTCATAGGCAGGCCTTTAGTTACAAATCAATGTGAAGGGTAACATGAGCACAAGACTAAGCAGCCAGTCTTCCACTGGAAACCTGAAGTATTCTGGGAGCTGGCCAGACATTTTCTCAACTATCCCCCAGAGCTTGAATGACAGAAGATTCTGCAGTTGTCAACACTGTTCTATGACACAGATGAAGTCATGAATCAAACAAGCTCAGGCCCAGGGCATAGGAACTGACAAAGAAAGAGGCTTCTAGTGTAAACAAAGCCACACACAGAAGAGGAGGGCCAAGTTTGCTATCACTACTTAAAAATAAACGTAGTTATGTATGTTTCTTTACTACATTGGCCCATGAGAACTGACCACTGTAATTACCTGTTAAAATCAATTGTAGACTCTGATGATTACTTTATGAATAACTGGACGAATACGTGGATACTGATTAAAATACTTAACAAATGTTTTGCGCTTCTGATATGTTCCTTTTTACTACTTCTTGACACAGCTTTGACCCACTGTTTTGACATGACACAAACGACACCCCGGCCTCTTGCTCCAACTACACCCCCCAGCCTTGCCCACGTCCATACACACAGTGTGTAACTTCACTGCCAACGTTACAGACTGACTACAGGGATGGACCATCATACTTGACATCCAGCTGTCCTTGCTCGTCCTCCACCTCCACCTCCGAAGGGGCCACAGTCATACGGTGAATGACAGACTGCAGGCTGCAGGGGCTGAAGCTTACGGCCAGGAAAATGTCTTCTTCAATCCAGGTGAGAAAGCTCAGTCGCAGTGGGTTTACCTCCTCATCCTCAATGTTCTCAAACTGAATTCTGTTTCAAATATTCAAGAATATCCACGATAAGAATAAAGCTTTAACTCACTGAACTTTAAAACCTTTCCTTATAAAGGAAAAATACAGCCAACTCCTTATTCCTTAGAGAAACAGACCCTGAGCTACAGCTCTGAATAAACCATCTGTACCAACTGCCACTCTTAATTCCCTAAGACTCGAGGAACCGCGGAAGAGGAGCCGGAAGAAAGGAGCGGGAGGCTGGAGTGCTGCTGTCTTCTGGACACGACGTGGCCGTTGCAATCATGGATTCAAGCAGCAGTGGGCCTGCCAGTCACACCTCAGCACAGAGGGGACGGGCGATCCCTAGGCCCCACCCTCCTATGGAGCCAGTGGCCGCTGACAGTGGCTGGGGCGGCAGAGTTGCTCTTCTTTGAGGATGTAGCACCAGGTAGGAAGCCCATGGTCCAGGGAATGCCTCTGTACTCATGCACACATGGGCATCACTAGCTGGACTTAGTAGTTATACAAAAGAAGACATAAAGGTAGGAGGATTACATCTGGGGAGGGAACGACGAGGCAAGAGTTGGAGGGAATCCAACTGATAGATATGATTTGATAAGATATGATCATATTTCATTGGATACATGCAGGAGAGCCTCAAGAATAAAGAAAAAAAGCCCTATGCTAACACCAAATACCAGAGCCCTTCAAAATAATGTTTGTCTGACTTAAGAATGTAGGATTTGCTGGGGGTGGGAGGGGGGGTGGCGGCGGCGGCAGCGCACGCCTTTAATCCCAGCACTTGGGAGGCAGAGCCAGGTGGATCTTTGTGAGTTCGAGGCCAGCCTGGTCTACAGAGCGAGATCCAGGACAGGCACCAAAACTACACAGAGAAACCCTGTCTCGAAAAACCAAAAAAAAAAAGTAATGTAGGATTTATTTTAAGTACACTTCCTCATATCCTTAGATCTCTATATTTGAAGAGTATCATTTTGAAATTGGCTATGTAAGAAAATTCCCCACCCTTGTGCCTAAGCTACTGAATCACAGGGCCCTCCCAAGTCCACAATGACCGGCATATAAACCGTATACCAGCAGGCATCGGCCTCACAAGACAGGACCCTTCCCGAAGCTCCTCACATCCAAACAACTAATAACCGGGCACAGCTTCCTTGCTTCTGACCCTTCCTGGTCTGGGCATTGTTTTGTCACCTCTCAAAGGAGAACTCCCATCCTCTGGGTCCAGTGGAGGTCAGCAGTAGCGACTTAAGAAGCAGGCCTGTAGCACCATCTGCCTGTTCAGCCAGCTCCCCCTCAACTCTGTCTCCACTGCACACGGCTAGCCCAGAGTCCTTGCCACACACGCCTTCCCGGCTCTGGTTTTCACCAGCCTGCTCCCAATTCACTCCCAATCCAAATCAGCTCTTCCCTAAGGATCAAAATGAAGACTCACGTCTCCTATTTTCTCTGAATGACTGACTGACCTTCCTCTTGATTTTTTTTTTATGGAGGGGAGCGGGTTTCAAGACAGGGTTTCTCTGTGTAGCTTTGGTGCCTGTCCTGGAACTCACTCTGTAGACCAGGCTGGCCTTGAACTCACAGACATCTGCCTGGCTCTGCCTCCCTGAGTGCTGGGATTAAAGGCGTGCACCACCACTGCCTGGCCCTTTCTCTTGATTTTTAATATATTCTAACCTAGGCTGTGTAAATGATGGGTCATAGCATCACATGGGGTCATATTACTGCATATGAGGACAAGAAAGAAAGAAAGAAAGAAAGAAAGAAAGAAAGAAAGAAAGAAAGAAAGAAAGAAAGAAAGAAAGAAAGAAAGAGAGAGAGACACAAAGAAAGAAAGAAAGAAAGAAAGAAAGAAAGAAAGAAAGAAAGAAAGAAAGAAAGAAAGAAAGAAAGAAAGAAAGAGGGAGGGAGGGAGGAAGGATAGAAAGAAAGAAAGAGAGAGGGAGGGAGGATAGAAAGAAAGAAAGAGAGAGGGAGGGAGGATAGAAAGAAAGAAAGAGAGAGAGAGAGAGAGAGAGAAAGAAAGAAAGAAAGAAAGAAAGAAAGAAAGAAAGAAAGAAAGAAAGAAAGAAAGAAAAATGGTAAAATTATATGTATGACAAGGAACTGAAGCTGTACTCTTTTATGTGTCTTTCTGTCCTATGTGTTCACGTACAGGCTAGAGGACAACTTCAGGTGTCATCCTCGAGAATACCATTCGCCTCCTTTAAAACAGGGTTTCTCACTAGCTGTGAGCTCACCAATTAGGACAGACGACTTGGCCAGCGAGCCCAAGGATTCCCGTCTTCCCACCTCCCCAGAACTAGGATTACAAGCACACACCACCAAGCCTGGCATTTTTATGTAGTTTCTGGGGACCAAACTCAGGTCCTCAAGCTTGCCAGCCAAATACTTTGCTGGCTGAGCTATCTCCCCACTCCCAAGGAATTGTTTGAAAATAAGTTTATGATTATCAGTAAATATTTGATTTGTACACTATTTTATCTATCTATATATCCACGGTCACATAAAACCTACTCAGTAAAAAAGGGTTGTGAACTGAAGAAGTTAAGGAGCCCTGTTCTAAACTGCCTCACTCTGAATCTGAATTATATCTGTGTAGTGATTTCAAATTATATGTTAAAATTTGGATCTGGAGCTGGGCAGTGATGGCACATGCCTTTGATCCCAGCACTTGGGAGGCAGAGGCAGGCAAATGTCTGTGAATTCAAGGCAGCCTGGTCTACAGAGTGAGATCCAGAACAGCCAGAGATGTTACACAGAGAAACCCTGTCTCCAAAAACAAAAATAAACAAAAATGGATCTGGACTACTCCACAGAAGGCCCCTGTGTTAGGCTTGGACTCTAACCTCTGTAACAGAGAAAGAACAGAATGATAAGGAAATGAGGCTAGAAGTTTTAGATCACTAAAAGAATGCCCTTACCTCAGAGAGGTGTGACTCTAGTTCTCTACCCACAGTGGCCATGAGGTGAGTGGGTCTCTTCCATCACATGCTACAATCATGAAGCCTGTGCCAAAGCCATGAGGCCGACAGGTTGCTAAAACCCCAAACCCTGGGAGTCAGACTAAACCTTTCCTTCTTAAGCCGCTAGATGTCTGGCATTTACTGCGGTAACTGGAGAGCTGCCTAACCGAGTGTACAATGACGGAATATGAGCCCTTTAAAAGCTTATCAGCATTCCAGACACAGGCAGCAAAGCATACACTTCCTTGAAAACTAGGTATGTATTAAATATACGACTCATACCTAAAATCCCTTCCTACTTTCTCTCACTTGTACTTGTTTCTATTAATTCTGTACTGGGTGTCCCTGATAATTAAGAACAGGAACACTCCAAACTGAACAGAATTAAGCCCTGGCTTCTGCAGTCAGCAGGTCCACGATCTTGGGTAACTCTGTTCTCTTATTTCTTGGTGCTCTGTAGCCAGTACTTAGGATCTGGCTTCCATGCCCTTCTGAAAATGCCTCCAGTGGGCCGGAGGTAGTTAATTACTCCCACTCATTTGTACTGCTGTTTCAAAGGGAAAGTGTGCTCTGATTTCAACCTGAGAGTCTAAAATGACAACACCCAGAAAGAAATCCTGTAATCTGGAATAAGACCAGGATAGAAGCTGAATTGGATCATCTACATATTAGCACCGTGTATATGGTCATTTATGTGAGGGAATGCAACTGCTTGCCTTGGTGTCTGTCCCTCCATCTTCCTGTGGGAGTCTCCCTAGAGAACAAAGCAGTTGTAGGAAGAAGAGTTTCCTTGCCACCTGAATATATGGCACACAGTAAAACTAAGTGACTGGCTTCCCTCACCAGGCTCAGCTGGTGTACCTACTTCATCTTCCCCAGGATACAGGCTGGATGAATTCAGGACAGAATGCTACCTAATTCCACTCCCAGAAATGCAAAATATTTAGGAACCCACATGTATCTCTTTTCCAGATGAGGTGTTCTAAGGGGAACTTTAAATCCATTTCCACCCACAGCTCCCAGTTTCACAGTGGGATCCATGTTTGGCTGATCACCTAGAAAACAAAAATGCACACATCATTGTAGGCTATTTCTCTGAAGACCAAGAATGTAGGGTCTTACGACTAGTGGGTTCTAGAAGACAAATGAAGCAATCTAAGAAATAATGACATTTCAATCTCCTTCTTGAATCGCCACATATCTTTCAGGCTCAATCAAAACCTGCTTTCCATCAATACCATTTCAGCTGCAGTTCTCACAGTAAAGACAACTCTTTAGCAGGGCCAGGGGAGGGGCTACCTTTAATTTTGCCAAATACAAACAGACTAGATATTATAAATAGACTAGATAGTGTAACTGTAATTCTTGCTTGATAATTGTTTTGTTATCTGTAATTTTACCATGTGAAAGTTAAAACCTTCCTTTGTTTTTTAAAAAAAAAAGGGGAAGTGCTGTGGATATTGCTCTGTATAAATACAATGCTGATTGGCCAGTAGCCAGGCAGGAAGTATAGGCGGGACAAGGAGAGAGGAGAATTCTGGGAAGTGGAAAGCTGAGGCTGAGAGATGCTGCCAGCCGTGCCATGAAAAGCGAGGTGTAAGGTACTGGTAAGCCACGAGCCACGTGGCAACTTACAGACTAATAGACATGGGTTAATTTAAGATATAAGAACAGTTAACAAGAAGCCTGCTGCCGCCATACAGTTTGTAAGCAATGTAAGTCTCTGTGTGTTTACTTGGTTGGGTCTAAGTGGCGGAACTGGTGGGTGAGAGAGATTTGTCCTGACCGTGGGCCAGGCAGGACTGGAGAAAACTCCAGCTACACTTCTGTTCTGGAGCAGGGACTGCACTGAGCTCCTTGGTCAAGGTGTTTCTACTTACCACACTTGTAGACAGAAATCTGGTTACTGGCATCGAGGACAGCAAGGTCATTGCTCTTTCCGAGGTGAGCACAGAAGACGACTTGGTTCACTGGATGTGAGATCTGCAGCCGATACGTACACATGGGAGGTGGGATCACAGTCTGCTGGAAGACTGTTACCAACACCCTGTCTGCACAATGAAAAGGGGGATTAGCCATGTGGATGTTCAGTCTGTAAAAGCAGACAGGAAGCCTCACTGAAAACCTAATTGATAACTGTGTTAGGCAGCATGCTGTAGCTCTTCACAATAACTTCTGGTGTTTTCTCATTAATAAACTTAGAAACAGTATGGGTACGTAGAGCTCTGTCTGCACCTGGCAAGTGTGGCCTGCAGACTTACATTGCCCTTGAAAAATTAAGGTGCCAGGAATCGGGGCAAAACAAGCTCAACGTTCCAGCTTTAAACCTGGGTCTGTAAGGAAGTGAGACTAAACTAGAGTAATCTATACCTCTAAAACCTTAAGGGCCACAATTGGGAGGCTGAGGCAGGAGGGAGGGCTGCCATGGGTTCCAGGCGCCTGCTCTACACAGGGAGTACCAGGGATATATACCAAGACTCCTGCTAAAAAAGACCCCACCCCCAAATTTCTATGTATAAATTGGTAATAAGGCATGACTAAGTTCTCTGTACAGAACATGATTCTAGAAACCAGTATTAAAAGCACTACCCAGAACATTTAGTGCCAAGTATGTCTATCTGCTATCAACAAACTGTCTATGGCTATTTCAGTCTGCAACCCAGCTCTCCACCACTGATGCCTACATGTAATTAAAAACACCAATTTTCCTCACAGGACATAAATGTCTAGGATTTGACTGAGAATCCTAGAGAAAGAGGTAGTTTACAGTGCTTAAAATAAAAAACAAAGCCAAACATAGTGGAATGCATAGCCAATACAAGGCTAACAGACCCCACTGCCCCACCCACATGGCTTCACTCTTCTCTGCAAAAGGAGAAAATCATCAGTCTTCAACTTCAAAAGCCAGACAAGTCAATGAATAAGGCTATAAATAATAAATATGGTACAACAGGGAAGTGGGGTGGGTGGAACTTGGGTTTTCAGGAGAGTACATGTTCTATTTAATGACACTCCTGGTCATCAGACATCAGACAAACTAAACAACCAAAAAGACGATTTCCCCACTGTTCTGGTTAAACCAGCACATCTGCAGGCCCTGGGTCAGGACCCACATGTTCATGAGCACATTTCCCAGAAGCTTACTTCCATCAATAACAGCCACATTTGCCATGTCACTGGTACTATTTCCGGAGCTCCGTTCAGTGGTCCAGTGCCAGTCACAGCATAGATAATGCCAGCCCTGACAGAGAATATGCAGCCGGCACGGTATCACCGGGTCCCACAGCAGAGACACAATCTCATTCTTCCCACTGGTGCCGAAGGGCAGGCTTTGCTTGAGATACCAGTGATAGTTCCCCATGGTCCAAAGCTGGACTGTGTGGAGAAAAGGAAAGGAAGGCCATCAGAGACCAGGGAACCAAGAGGGGACAGGGGTAGCTTTGTATTTTTCCAAGAATTCTTCCTGTTTGGTCTCTCCAAATTAATTATATAATAATAAATGTCAAAAGATAGCTAAGACAGTATTTCAGGACATTTTCCCCATGCAAAGTTGAGCAAGATAACCAGACTAAATGTACAGCTATGCATCACACTGTGGGGATATTGTCTGAGAAATGTGAAGTCCATAGGTATCATCACGTGCAAGCATCGCAAAGTATCCTCACACAGAATAAAACAGCTACAATGCCCTGGAGATGCAGTCCAGTGAGACCAGGGCCTAACATGTGGTCTGCTGTAGACAAAGTCCTTATGTGGCACACGGTTGTGCCAAGGTACTCTAGGCAGGTTCTGGACCAGCATCGCTGTGGGTTTACAATGCCTGTTTTCTCACAGTGCTGTGTATGCAGTTATGTCCCAGGCTATCTAGTATCAACCAATATTCAGCTGCCTGAAGATTAATATGCACTTAATCATCCTAATATGTATTACAATGATCAATTATGTCCAAGCTGGCCTTTATCAATAGAAAACACATATAAATTAAGATTTTAATTACATGAAAGAATTTATTTGAACTTTGCCACTAATTCTTAACTTAGTGATCACAGAAAATGATGCTTAGCTCTCTAATCACACCATTACAGTGTGTCTAAGTGGCCATGGGCTAGCAGGCTGAACCACAAGTTTATGTAACGGAGGGCAGATACTATAAGGACTCCTGTACTCTTGTTAGCCTGTGTCTGTCAGTGTCCTTGCTTTACATCTGGGAATCACTGGTCTTTGAGTGGCTGCATAGTCAAACAACTTGGAAGTCTGGGTCTGTTTGGTTTTGAAATTGTTATAAGGCCCTGATTAAATCCTGAACATCACTAAAAATAAATAGTTAATGTCAACATATATTCTCTCTCCCAAAACAATGAGTCCAATTCTGAGATGAAGGCTTAGCCAGGGTTAAGAACTCCTAAAATGAATGAATAAATGAATGAACAAACTACTCAATTACATTTCAGATTAAAAGTCCTGCTGATTAATGAGTTTGAAAGAAACTTAGAAAATAGACAAGCTAAAAGATTTATGAACACGTTTACTTCACTGCTATTGATGATGAGATATAAATGTCTAATAGCAAAGAGTTAATTAACTGGCACAGAAGAAAATGACACAGTAATCTAAAATGATATAGATGTGTACATGGAATGGAACCTTGCTTGTGATACAGTGTCAAAGCAAGTCATAAAACAGCATGTATCGGTAGGGAGGGGTATGGAGGGAAGAAAAAGAAGGGAGAAACACTATAATTAAAATACAATTTCAAAATAAAACAAACAGAAAAATTCAGCATGTATCAGCCAGGCATGGTGGCATACACCTTTAATTCCAGCAGAAGCAGACAGGCAGATCTCTGTGAATTAGAGACCAGCCAGGTCCACATAATAAGATCTGCTTAAAGACAGAAAAAAAAAAGGAAGGAAGGAAGGAAGGAAGGAAGGAAGGAAGGAAGGAAGGAAGGAAGGAAGGAAGGAAGGAAGGAAGGAAGGCAGGCAGGCGGGCACCATTTACTTTAAGCAGGGTTGGGGCTTGGCTCAGTGACAGAGGGCTTGCCTAGGTGGTCTAAGCCCCAGGGTTAAGTTCCCCAGCACTAGGAGGAAAAGAAAGTAAAAAAGACAACAGACTTAATCCCAAGTCTATACTTAAATATATATACCCGAACATCTTAAAAGCTACTCTCATGTGCAACCTAAATCCATTCACTCCTATAGCATTTCATTTTCTGCCCTGATGACTATGGTTATAGTTTGTCTTTGCTCTGCTAACATGTGGTGCCCTGGTCCACCAATAATCTAGATGCTGCTCTGAGAGACTTTAAATAAAGTGATTACCCCCACGTGTAAGAAGCCTTAAAAACAAACCAGGATTCCCAGGAGAGAAGGAATTCTGTCTCAATACTGCAACACAAAATCCTGCGTGAACTTATAGCCTGCCACAGAAATTCAAACCTGCCCTCCCCTACACACACAAGCCAATTCCTTAGACCAGAGCCAGCCACACCCCTCCTGTCTGTAACTACTGGTTCTGCTTCTCTAGAGAACACTGAATAATTCATGATTGACCCCTCTCCATCAGCATCTACCCACTTCAGGCTACACTGAGTTCACCAAAGGCCGAAGGAGGAAGGAGGAAGGAAACCCCACAATCTTCTACTTTGATAGAACATATGAACATGAACCAAAGTTCAACAGCTATCATACCATAGCTTTTCAGAGTAGAACTGTCCTCGCTTGGAAGGTCTTCTAGCCACACAGCAAGCACAGTGGAATCTGCATTCCATAGCAAGTCATTTACCTGGTAAGGACAAAAGACACCCCAACTTTCAGTTATTTGTCAACTTCAAACTCTTTACAATAGCTGAATTCCTTACACACATAAGCCAAATAACTCTACAATACTAGAGCTGACCTCCAGCTCTGTTACTGACCTAGAGTTGTTAAACTGATTTGTGAAACTGTTTTTATAAAAAAGACTTAAAATATGCATTATGCTTAAAAATTCAAATACAAATGTACCAAAAAGCAATGTAACATTTCTAGAAAAATCAAGAAATGTGACAATTAGACATAGTAATATCTTATATTAAATCCATTATTATATTAGTCATACATTTTCTATTAATAGTTAATACTAATTATGCTATAATATAGAAAAAAATATAGTTCCAAAAAGAAAACCTCTCTTAAAAATTTACACAAGAAATATTACCCTACATAACTTTTTAAAAGTTTACATAATTAAAGATTTCATGTATCTCCACCCAAGACTTTAATGGTACATAGCTGTTTAATGTTTAAATATCAATCACTGGGAAAATTAGTCATCAAAATAAATAGTAAGCACTAGTGTTTCTACTTTCTTTTTTTTTTTATTTATTTTTAAGTCTCTCTCTCTTTTTTTTTTTTTTTTTGG